ACACAGAATCTGAAGCAGGCCCCAGGCTCCGAGCTGTCAGCACAGAGCCCGATGTGGAGCTCAAACCCATGAACTTTGATATCACGACCTGAGCTGAAGCCGGACGCTTAACCAACTGAGCCACCCAGGTGCCCCTGATTTTCTCCATTACATTCTTAATATGAATGCCCCATTCTCTTCTTTTAAATATCTTACCCGTGTAAAGAATGCAAAAGAAACGAGGCTAGTTTCACATTTTCTAGAAGTAAATGGTCAACTCCTATTCATGGAGTGGGATTTTAATGGTCTTATCTGTAGATTTTAACATGAAGGGAAGCCTAAGTATTCATAGTCATGGTTACCAAGTTCTGTATCATTCAAATAAGTACCTTAGGTCCATTCATCCATTGTATTCCAGGTTGGAGTTAATCCCAAAGGTGCAAGGTACAGCAAGGGGCAGCGCTGTGTTCATGAACTCTTATAACAAAAGAGAAACTTCATGTGAAAGAGCATTTAAGTTCCTAGGTGAATCCAGAAGTGCCTTTAGTTTGCCTACAGAAACAGCCATTTTCCATATTCACAGTGGGTACATGATGGGGATTTGTTAAAGGTGGGGACAAAGACCTCTGAAGTGTTTCCTACCCAGATGTTATTTATGAAGACTCATCAAGTCTTCCCAGGATCGTTCGTTGTATAGTGAAGGCACCACAATCCAAAATTGTCTTCAAGTTAATTCATTTTGTTATGTGCCATCCAGCGAGGTGAGTAACTTCATACACCATTCGTACGTGCCATTTCCCATGCAGATTCTCTTTCTATCCAGCATGCTCTGTCCTTTCCTACCTAGTTCAAAAACCCACTTTCCCTTTGACTGTACAGGTTATCTAGAAGAGGAATATATCTATTGCAGGTACTAAACCTTTCTTCAAACTATACTTCTTCCAACCTCTAACAAATTCTAGAATTTTACCACCTGCTGGGTAAACTACTATTTTTTTTTTAATTTTTAATGGTTTTATTCATTTTTGAAAGACAGAGATACAGAGCGCTAACGGCAGAGGGGCAGAGAGAGAGAGAGAGAGAGAGAGAGAGAGAGAGAGGGAGACACAGAATCTGAAGCAGGCTCCAGGCTCTGAGCTGTCAGCACAGAGCCCGATGTGGGGCTCAAACCCACGAACTGTGAGATCATGAGCTGAGCTGAAGTTGGACGCTCAGCTGACTGAGCCACCCAGGTGCCCCTAAACTACTATTTTCAGTATTTGTCTTGATAATTGCATAATCTCTTTTTTCTTCACAAAAATAGTGTATGTTCAGTGTAAGAAATTCAAACAAAACGCTGTATCCCTCTTAACGTGTTGAGTGGTGCTTTGGTATCTAGAGTTTTGAATCTTAGTAAGCAAGACTGTGATTACTTGATTCATATCTTTAAGATTTGTTCACTGAAAGGTTTATACCACTGGGGTTAAAAGCACATGCTCTAGAATCAGGTTGGATTTGAATCCTGGCTTCTCCTTTACTATCTGGGAGATTGGGCAAGTTACTTAACTATGCCTCAATTTCCTCATCTGTAAAGTGGGGATAATAATAGTACTTACCTTGAAAGATTGTTGTTTGTTCTGAGTGAGACCATCCATGTAAGTCGTTTGGAATAATATCACATGGTGAGTACTAAATAAATGCTAGCCATTATTACTGCTGTGCTACTGTTGACTCTCCTAGATATTTTTCCAGACTAAAAGGGTTCCTTATCCCTTTAGTTTTTCCTGAAACATCAGTTGCTTCTCACCTTTGGTGATTTTAATTGCTCTTCTCTGGACCATTTCTAGAGCTACTAATAACTCTCCTGGGGTTTCATTACCACATCTGCACGAAGTATCCTAGGTTACTTGTCTGAGGTTAATATGATTATTCATTTCAAGTAGCTTTGGCACTGAAAATGGCACCAGAGGTCTTATTTGCTTTTTTTTTTTAGCACATTGAGCTGGTACATTTAGAAAATAAATGGAAAACTCCAGCATTATACCAGGTCCTAACTGATATTTGTGACCTGTTCTTTCTCTTGCTTCTTTTTTTAAAAATTTTTTATAGTTTTTTTTTTAATTTATTTTTGAGAGAGAGACAGAGCATCAGCAGGGGAGGGGCAGAGAGAGACGGAAACACGGAATCTGAGGCAGGCTCCAGGCTCCGAGCTGTCAACAAGAGCCCAACGTGGGGCTCGAACTCGTGAACCGTGAGATCGTGACCTGAGCCCAAGTCAGCCGCTTAACCGATTGAGCCACCCGGGCGCCCCAGTCTCCCACTTCTTGAATATAGGCATTCCCTATAGCACTGCCCCAAAACCGAGTCTCTTTCTACCTTCCCTTCTTTGGAGAACACATGAACTCCCATAACTTCAATGTTGTGCATATAGCTCCCAAATCTTTAACCGGTCCTGACTTCACTCGTGAACTGCAGACCCTCTACTTGGCCATCCCGCTGGTCCCTTAAAACCGACCTGTCCAGAGCCAACCTGTACCTCCTGCCTCCCATCTTAACGCTATCAGCAGTCCTGTGTTTTCTAGTTATGCAGGTTCAAAACCCTCCAGTCATCTTCCAGTCGTTCTCCCTCAAGCATTCCCAGTCTACCCAGCCAATCAGTTGCAAAGACGGGTTAATCCTACATCTGCATTGGCTCTTGCATCCAGCCTCCCTTCTCCCTTTTCCATTCCTACTGCAACCGATAAGTTAAGGCCCCCTGACTTTTCAGCAAGACTACTGTTCTAACCACTTTTTTCTCACCTTTCTAACTTCTCAGCTGGCCTCACCTCCTGCCCCTTTCTGCTGTCAAATTAACATTGGGGAAGTCTGGGGTTTATTATTTTTTATTTTTTATTTTAGAGAGTGCACGAGCAGGGGAGAGGAGCAGAGGGAGAGAGAGAGAGAGAGAGAGAGAGAGAATCTTTTTTTTTTTTTAAGAATTTTTTCTTTTGATGGGGCGCCTGGGTGGCGCAGTCGGTTAAGCGTCCGACTTCAGCCAGGTCACGATCTCGCGGTCTGTGAGTTCGAGCCCCGCGTCGGGCTCTGGGCTGATGGCTCAGAGCCTGGAGCCTGTTTCCGATTCTGTGTCTCCCTCTCTCTCTGCCCCTCGCCCGTTCATGCTCTGTCTCTCTCTGTCCCAAAAATAAACAAACGTTGGAAAAAAAAAATTAAAAAAAAAAAAGAATTTTTTCTTTTGAGAGAGAGGGAGCGTGGGGGAAGGGCAGAGAGAGAGGGAGAGAGAGAATCCCAAGCAGGCTCCACAATGACAGCGCAGAGCCTGACGCAGGGCTGGATACCACGAACCGGGAGATCATGACCTGGGCTGAGAAAAAGACATGTTCAACCAACTGAGCCACCCAGGCGCCCCATCACTGGGGAAGTGTTGACCAGGGAGATAAATGAGTTAAAAATGTCTGCAGCATAAAGACCTTCCAGGTATGGCCTCAGCTTAGTTTCTGGCATTTCCCCCAACACAGGAATTAATCAACTCAACGTTTATCAAGCACATCCAGTAAGCCGAGGACTGTGCTAACCGAGAGGCTAAACTTATCTACACTTTTCAGTGACCAAGTATTTCCTGAACACTTACTATGTACCCAGTACTGTAAAGTCCTCTTTCAGTTTAGTCCTTGAACCGAGTCCATGTCGCTAAGAGAATTTAATGTCCTCTGCAAACATGGTGATTTCCTTGGTACTCAGTTAAATTTGAGAGACAGTCATGGATGCCCAGATGTGTTTTATTGAATACCTGTTTTGGTTAGGCTTTATGCTAGGTGCTGTCGGTAAAGAAATAAGTAACACCTGGTTACTGCCCTCAAGGTTCCCGTGACCTGTAGAGTAACAGATCTGTAAATCAAGCATGATAATACTTCAGGAAGGCTTAAGAGAGAGTTGCGCAAGGGGCTGTGGGGGCTCATACAAGGGGCCCCACACTCAGCCCGAGGGCATCCTGGAAAGCTTTAAACTGAGTTTTGTCAGGTGAGCAGAAGTTAGGTGAGGAAAGGGTTGAAGAACATTCAGGCAGAGGGAGTGCATGGAAATGCACATAGATGTAGGAAACCACGTGAAGCATTTGGGAAACTACAAGGACTTCAGAATGGCTGAAGCAACATGTATTTTGGGGAGAAGGATGGGCTAGGAGGTAAAGAAGTGGTCGGAAGTCAGGACTTCGGGAGTGTTGTGTGCCACGCTAAGGAGCCAGAACCGAAGACAATGGTGGGGCGGGGTGGGGGGGGAGGTTGGAGCTGGGCTGTGCTATATATAATCAGATTTGTGCTTCAGAAAGATCCCTCTAGTAGAAGTATGGAAGGATAACTGGTGGAGACCATGGCAGAGGTCAGCAAACCTTTCCCATAAAGGACCAGGCAGCAAATAGCTTAGGCTGTTTGCAGGCTCCACAGTCTCTTTGGCAACGACTCAACTCTGCCTTATAGTGCAAAAGCCGCCACAGATCATAAGCAGACAAATGGGCATGGTCGTGGCCAATAAACCTTTACTGATAGACACTGAAATGTGAATTTCACATCATTTTCACGTGTCACAGAATATTCTTTTTTTATCCTTTTTTTTTCTTTATTTTTTTTATTTTTTAAAATTTACATCCAAATTAGTGACCATATAGTGAAGCAATGATTTCAGGAGTAGATTCCTTAATGCCCCTTACCCAGTTAGCCCATCCCCCCTCCCACAATCCCTCCAGCAACCCTCAGTTTGTTCTCCATATTTATGAGTCTCTTCTGTTTTGTCCCCCTCCCTGTTTTTATATTATTTTTGTTTCCCTTCCCTTCTGTTCATCTGTTTTGTCTCTTAAAGTCCTCATATGAGTGAAGTCATATGATTTGTGTCTTTCTCTGACTAATTTCACTTAGCATAATACCTTCCAGTTCCACCTATGTAGTTGCAAATGGCAAGACTTCATTCTTTTTGATTGCCAAGTAATACTCCACTGTGTGTGTGTGTGTGTGTGTGTGTGTGTGTGTGTGTGTGTGTGTGTATACACCACATCTTTATCCATTCATGCATTGATGGACATTTGGGCTCTTTCCATACTTTGGCTATTGCTGATAGAACTACTGTAAACATTGAGGTGCATGTGCCCCTTCGAAACAGCACACCTGTATCCCCCTGGATAAATACCTAGTAGTGCAATTGCTGGGTCCTAGGGTAGTTCTATTTTTAGTTTTTTGAGAAAACTCCATCCTGTTTTCCAGAGTGGCTGCACCAGCTTGCATTCCCACAGAATATTCTTCTTTTGATTTTTTTTCAGCTATTCAAAAAAATGTATAAAGCATTCCTAGTTTCATGTCATACCAAAACAGGTGGCAGGCTGGATTCAGCTGGCTGTACATTGCTAATCTCTGGACTAAGGGATCAGAGTGTAGAGAACGTAGCCAACTCTTTTGAGAAGCTCATCGCCGAGGGGGAGAAAGAACTAGTGTGATAGTGGAGACAGGTGTAGACAAAGGCCTGTTTCTCAGAAGAGACCTGGAAGTGGTTTGGGAGAACAGGAAGACCAGTTTTTGAATAAATCAGTCACAGGGATGAAAGGTACAGCATAGGGAATGTAGTCAGTGGTATTATAATAGCGCTGCACGGGGACAGATGGGAGCTACACTTGTGAGCACAGTATAACGCATAGCCTTGTGGAATCGCTGTGTTGGCCACCTGAAACTAACAATGTAACCTATGGCGTATGTCACCTATACTTCAATAAAAAGAAAGATAGTGGACAAGGAGCCATTGCAAACGGTGGAGAGAGATGATTATCGGACTAGATCCTGGAAGAGGCAGGAAGGAGGTCACAGAATGTGGAGTACAGACTGCAGTGTAGGTGGTTTCATCAGGGAGGAGGAAGCACCTCTTTCACCTGAGGCTGGAGGAGAGAAGAAAGGAGGGGCCCTAACCAGATACTTAAGTAGGTTGCGGGGTAAAGACGGTAAAGAGTCTTCTTGAGGGTCTTGATTTTCACAGTGAAAAAGGAGGGAAGGCCCAAAGGGGCTACTAAGTTTCTGGGGCCTGTAAACAGAGGCAGAGTCTGGGGCTTGAAGACATTTGCTTTGTGTGGTCAGGGAAGCAGTCTGTGACTTTGGTGTTTTTCAAGTTCCCGACACTAAAAGAATGATTTGTGCTGAGGCAAAACAGCCTGGGATTAGGTGGTTAGGCCTGAAGAAACAGGTAAACTAATTTTCTTGGTCTTCTGGAGTGACCAAGACAGGTCTGGGGATGGGGCAGTGGGGAGACTGGGAAGGATCCTCACCTGGGCTTCTAGCTTCTCTAAAGTCTAGCCCTGCATGCACAGGGCAGTGTGGTTAGGCTGGAGCCAGGGTATAGGGGACAGGCAGCCACGAGGTTTCTTGGGAATGCTGACAGACACAGGTACTAAGAGGAGAAAATGGGCTCAGAGTCCCTAGGATAGTTCCTGATGCGACAGAGCCAGAATTTGAACACCTGTTCTAGGTCTTTTTTTTTCCAGCTCACTATCCTCACAGAACTTAAAGAGCTGGTTAGTGGAAGTGAGTCCAAAATGGGGTATCTTGGAGTTGCCTGGATGTTATTTGCCTTAGCAAGGAGGTTATATGGCCATGAGATAAAAAAAAAAAAAAAGAGAGAGAGAGAGAGTTTGAGAATCAGGACCTCTACTAAGCAGAATAATAGGAATTGGATACCATTAATGGTATGAAATGGTATGAACATTTTCAGAAAGCATTCAGGTCTGTAGTGGGGGGAATGAGCTCATTTCAAAGCAGTTCTAGTTTTTGAGGGGCACCTGGGTGGCTGAGTCTTAGGTTCGACGTCAGACTTCAGCTCACCGCTGATCTCACGGTTTGTGAGCTCGAGCCCCACGTCGGGCTCTGTGTTGACAGCTCCGAGCCTGGAGCCTGCTTTGGATTCCGTGCCTCCCTTCCTCTCTGCCCCTCCCCCGCTTGTGCTCTGTCTCTCAAAAATAAATAAACATTAACTTTTTTTTTTTTAAGCAGTTTTAGTTTTTGAGTTTGCTAGGTCCCTCAAAAGGATGTGTGCTCAGTGTCCAACCCGTAGAGGGGTGAAGGGAGGGTGGCAGATCAGAGTTTGGGATTTGTAGTTCATTCACGTAGAGGTAGAGATGAAAGTCCAGAGACTGTTAACAGAGAGCCCATACAGACTAAGGTGTGATCTGATACGTATGGGGGAAAATAGGAAGAACTGTGGATTTTCTGGTGTGCCAGGTCGAGAGGCTGAGAGTAAATACTCTTTGAGGAAGAGAGACGAGAGATGGTGTCAAAGGTGACACCAGTTGGGTGAAACGTGCGTTAAGACAGCGTGCAAAAGGTGCAAGAGGATAGGGAGAAACGCGCCACACCTCAAAAGATTTCTTCTTTGGGAGGGGAGAGGAGTGCTTGGAGCTCAGGTAGATTTGAGCACACACCGATTGGATCTTCTTTGCGAGACTGATGAGTGTCTCTGCACAGGTTCCTGACGTGAACGATAACTCGTATCTCGGGTGGTTTACGTGTGAGGAAAACGGAACGTACCGGCACACGCATATTCCTTGCCTTTGAGTCGATTCTTTTATGAGCTACTACAGTGTTGTTGTTTTTCCCAGTGAGGGCTGAACAAGGAGAACCCGATTTAAATGAGATGGAGTTTCAGGCATCTCCCAAGGGGACAACTTTTTATCGAGTTAAGAGACACCGGGGGACAATATTGAGATGGCTCATGAAAGCTCGAGTCCCCTGAGAGCTATAAGGATAGGACCAAAGTAGACCTAGCGCGATCTGCCTCGGCTTGATTACGCCCAGCTGAGGGTTCTTTTCCAGAAGGCCGTGGGCTAGATTCGACAGCCTTTCGTTCCGTGGCAGTACCTGAGGGTGCACGTCCGGGGCTGGGAGAAACCCGTGCGGCGGAGACCCGAAAGACGAAGGGATGGGGCCGAACCAGCCGGGAGTGTCGCGTCCCCTTTAAGGGCGGCGGCGGCGGCGGCGGCGCCGGCGCGCGCTCCGACGGCTTCCCTGGGGCCCCGCCCCTTTCCCGTGAGCCCTCGGGGAGTGGTCCGACCGCGGGCGGCTGCGGGTGAGGAGCGGGGCGGGGGGCGGGGGGAGTCATGGCTCGACGCGGCTGGCTGCGGGCGCCCCTCAGCCGCGGCGGCGGCGGCGGCCCCGGGGCCCGCCGGCTCATGCGGCCGCTCTGGTTGCTCCTCGCAGTGGGCGTCTTTAGCTGGGCCGGGGCTTCGGACGGCGCCGGCGGAGCGGCGAGAGCCATGGACGAGGAGATCGTGTCCGAGAAGCAAGCCGAGGAGAGCCACCGGCAGGACAGCGCCAACCTGCTCATCTTCATCCTGCTGCTCACCCTCACCATTCTCACGATCTGGCTCTTCAAGCACCGCCGGGCCCGCTTCCTGCACGAAACCGGCCTGGCTATGATTTATGGCAAGTGCCTCAACCCATGTCCGCCCCCTGGCGCTCCCCCTTTCTCTGAACGCCGGCTGCTTCGCCTCCTCTCCTGGCCCTGCTCGGCCTGTGTTCGGCTCCCCTTCTGATGCCTTGTATTTTCTGCCTCGCCTGCCCCCTCACCCCCGTTTCTCTGCCTCACCTCATTTCCTCCTCGGCCTCGTCCCCCGTTTTCTCTGCCTCGCACCCCCTTTCCTTTGCGTGTCCACACCTTTTTTCCTTCGACCCCACCCCCTTTTTCTTCCACGCATCCCCCACCCCCACCCCCGCCTCTGCCTACCGAGCTGGGGACCGGGACCCGGGACTGAGGATGGGAAGGGAGTGGGTGCGGTGTCTGGGATTGGGCTGGGGACTGGGGGAGGGGAAGACAGCCTAGCGATCCATTTCTCTGGGGTGTCAGTTTGTTTAAGGTCCATTGAAGCTGCAGTAGTGCCTCTGCTGCTCAGAATCTGGCGTCCTCTTGGAGCCAAGAGTCCACCTTTACCCATCACCCCCGCTCTTGCTACGCCCTGTCCTTTCGAGGTTGAGAATGAAAACCTTACTCCCGTGTAGCCCTGAACGCGAAAGAAGCTATAAAGAAGGCTTAGGGTATTTTTTATGATGTCCTGGTTTATTGTACTATGCTTGTAACATCTGAGTAGTATACGTGCGGTCGACCCTCCTCATCTAGGCGCACCGAGGTGAGGACAAGGAAGAGTTAAAGATCTCCCAGCGCTGTGTTGTACTATAGGATGATCAGGACAGTTCAGCCGAACAGTAATTAGGGACACCACACATAGGCAGTATGGGTGACGCTGGTGGCATAAGGTTATTGACCGATCGTTGAGTAAATGGCTTCAGTCCTTGTGTCTTCGTGTGCTTTCTTTTTGAGATTTATTTACGTATTTTTATATTTTGGTCTTCAGAGTAGGGCAAAGCAAACCATGGGCTCACAGGCGTTTTGGCCTGTGCGGAGGCCTCATGAGAGGAAAAGATACATATTGCCGACTGTCTTAATGTGGTCGTGAGGGTATATAGACGGCTGAAAAGATGAGTGCAGTCTGTGAGTGAAGATTATCTTCACATGGAACAAGCTTACACTGATGAGCTTGTTGAGCTTTGTTTCCGGACTTGCAAATCGGTAGAAACAGCCTTGGCGCAAAAAGACATTTCTCCACGACCCTCCCCACCCCCCCCCCACCAGCCATTTCCAGTCCATACAGACTTCTAGAATGTGCATCTCAGGGGTGGCCCAACAAGGTAGTTGTGTGCATCAGGAAAATGCATGAACTCAGGCTTCTTTTTCATTTGTAAGGTAATAAAATGCTAAGCCTATGTGCAAGTATCTCTGCTCCCTAGGATTCTTGGGTTTTAGACATATTAGCTGGTTTTCATATTTCCTGTTTTTTTGCATTTTATTTACAGCACCCCTTAAGCTAAATGGCCAGATAAGCTACACATCTCTGTATAATTTCTTGTATAACAATGTAAAATCAAATGTATACATGATTTATTTATATTTACTGCCCTCAACAAACATTTGCTAGGCAGCCAACTATGTATTAGGCACAGAAAATACAAAGAAATAGATCCCCACCTTCAAAAAACTTTGCTTTCTTGGGCAGACAGGCCATATAAACAAAATAATGGCATCTTAAATTTAGTTAAATGCCAAATGAGTATTATGGTGTTAAAATAAGGAACCGATCACAGAACCCTCTTCCCTCCATATGGAGAGAGAGTACAATGTAGTGGTTAAAGGTGCAAGGCTTTAAGACCAGAGGTCTGCTAATTTTTTCTATGAAGAGTCAGATAATAATTCGTGTTGATTTTGTGGGTCACATATGTCTCTGTGTCTCTGTTGCGTTTTCTTCTTTTTGTTTTTTTCTTTTTAGAAACCTTTTATAAACCTACAAAATGTAAAAACAGTTTTTAGCTCTCGGGCCATGCAAAAACAAACCATCACTGTAAGTCACCAACCCCTGCTTTAGAGCCAGACCTGGGTTCCTGTACCACTGTGCCATCTGTTCTGCGTGATCTTAGACAAGAGTCCCCTACCCTCTTACACTGTCATCTATAAATTGGGAAAAATGATAGTTGGATTATTGCGAGGAAGAATTGCTTTTAGCTTAGTACCTGACCCCTAAGTAAATGTTCAATAAATGATAACTGTGATACTATTGTTACTGCTCTTATAACTGCATTTTCTCAGGTTAGGCTCAGAACAGTTCTTTTAATTTCTCTTATAAGTTAAGAGGCAAACGTTTCTTCCTTCCTTCCTTCCTTCCTTCCTTCCTTCCTTCCTTCCTTCCTTCCTTCCTATCCAATAAGGACTTAGAATTGCCCTGGAAACATTTGCTCCTTGGTAGTTGATATCTTTAACCTCCTCTAACTCTTGAGCTAAATTGAAAGTGGGATTACTGACTGCATTTCTTGGTGTGTCTGAGTTAGTGAAAGGTGATGGAATACCTTAGCATTAGCATTTTGTGAAGGAAAAACAAAGGTATCCCTTGCAGAATATAAAGTAGAAGGATGTTGGGCTTGGTTTGCCACGGCTTGGCATTCTGTAGCCGGTTCCATTTTCTCACTATGGCAATGGAGGCTATGGATGAACAGCCTCCTGACTAATTCCCAAGTCTAACTTGAGAATAGATGGGATTGGGTAGAAGTATTTTCAGTGCCATGGAAATTGATGTTTTTAAATCCTAATTACTGTCTGCCATTTACCTTTTCTTATGACTCTTATACCATCAGAGCTGTTATGTTAATGTATGATTTTAAGACCTTTATTTTTCAGCTTGACTTCCAGATGAATAGGCTCCTTACTCTGGGAATATCCAGCCCTCCAAGATTCAGCCCACTGATAGTTTTATTTCTGTGATGTCCGTTTAGCTTCCTAAATCCTGGAAAAATGCTATTTAAAATAAGCCTCTCCTTTATATTTTTGAGAGTCGAGAATAAAAAAAGAAAAAAAAAAGCCAATATGGTCAGTTTCTAGATTGTAATATAGCCTAGTTGCTACAGCTACAGACACAGTGTGAAAGCACCCAAGTGTTCTATTCATTGGGCTCGCTTGCTTAAGAAGCTTAAAAGTGAGTCACCTTTAGTAAAAATTGTCAGGGTAGTTAATTAAGTCTGAAAAGTGATCACCCACTGTAGTGTGCTTACAGATTGTATAAAAAGCAAGGGACAGGGAAGAAATATTTTGCCTGAAACTTATAGTATCCGGGATCCTACACTTAACTGATGTGATTCATCAGTAAATATTAAGTGTCTTTGACGTATGAGATGTGATGGGAAATACAGATATGAGTCATCATCCCTGCCCACAAAGCACTTACGATCTAGTGCCTTAATAGGTAATGTTTGTTGAGCATTATAACACACTCTACAAGTATCATTTCATTTAAAGCTCCTAACAACCCTGTGAGATGGGTACTGTTATCTTTCCCATTTACAGGTAAAGAAATTGGGGCACAGAGAGGTTAAATGACCTGTCTGAAGTGACATAATTTGTAAGTATTGACCCAGTCAGCCTGGCTCAGAAGCCCCATTCTCTTAGCCTGGAACCATATTGCCTTATATTGAAGAGATAAAGCTTAACTGTAACGATAAACTGGTTAGTATTCTCATTACTACATTTGAGAAAACTGAGGTCCAGTGAGAGGTTATCTACCCTAAGGTCACAGACTAGAACTTGATAGAGCCAGAATTAATACATCTATCTGACTTTCAAACTTGTGCTTTTTCTCCTACATCGTACACTATGCTGTACTAAATTTCATGAGATCGGATATGTAGAAAGATAATACTTACAGTTATAAGGGTTTTGGAGGTGGATTGTGAGAGAACGGAGACCTTAACCACTGAAGCAGTTAGTGGTGAGAGCCAGGAGACGATTAGAAAATTAGAGAGGCTTTGGAAATAGAAAAACCAGATTTCCATGCTGGTTTTTATCACTTAATGCCAAATACTGTTGGGCAAATCATTTATCCCCATTTTAGTGATGAGGAAACAGTGACTGAGAGATTTATAATAGTGTGGACTGCATAAGGTTATGAGGATCAGATAATATATGCAGAAAGAATTAGGATGGAGATTGATTGACTCAGGGTGCTAGGCGAAAGGATTCCCTTGGAAAAGAGGTTGATCTTTCCCCGAGAAGGGGGGGTGGGTTAGGGGAAATGAGCTAATGTTGACATGGAGAGGCATGGGATTGAGGCAGTGTACATCAGATGGCCTATAGCTTCTCTGAAAAGTAGGCAGTGAGATTGAGGATCTGAGAAGGAGGGTCAAGATTGGAAGAGCTACTACAGGGAATGTGCTAGAAGACAAAAAAATAAACACATGTAAAACTAACCAGAGGCTGGCAAAGGCCTTGCCTTTTTTTTTTTTTTGGCTGTCTTGAAGTCGAGTTGACTTTTAAAACAAAATCTAACAGCATTCTTCAAGAAGTAGATAAATGTTATATACACACATTCACAGATATGTGTATATAAATATATATGTACCTACATACACTATGTGTATATAAATATATATGTACATACGAACACTTGTTAATCTGTAGAAATTTTATCAATTTTGGCCACACTTAATATCCCAGTGATGTTCCTTCCGTATTTTTGACTATCAGAGGCTTCTAGTGTGATAGCTTGGGAAAATGAGCTGAAATCTATTAGAAAATCAATTTCCATTGATGGCGAGACCTATACGGTGTTGTGGCTTTGGGTGATACTGAGTTCTTTATCCCTGGGAGGGGTTCCAACACAAGAGGGTCAAGAATGTGTAGGAGGGGTGGGGCCTCTCTGTTTTGTGAAAGATAGCGCTTTGTGGTTGTATTCTTTGTTGCCTGTTAGTGGTGATTTTAAATTTCGTGATATCAATATTTTTTTGTGCCTCTGTGGGAGGCTAGAAGTTTCCGCCTTATCCCTTCAACAAAGCCCTCTTTTTGTGCACTTTCTCTTGACTGAGAATTGCTTTAACTCCGTGATGATGATTTGACCTTTCACAGAACCCCAATTAACTTGAACTGTCAACTTTATTCAAAGAAATTCCAGTTTTTCAGATGTCTGATGCTGTAATAAAAGGATCTTGATTTTTTCCAACCTAAGTAATTATTCTCCTCACTGAAGTTTTAACTGCCAAAGTGTGTGTTCCAAATTTGTCCAAGCGCTGAGCCCTCCTCAGGGCACCCAGCGACATTTCAGCTTTGAGTCAGAGTGCAATAGAATGGGTAGATACCATTGCTTACACAGTCAGGCTTAAGGACTTGGAAAGAATTTGTACTGCTGTTATTATTTGTAGTAGCTTAGCTTTGATTTTTGCACATACACATAAGGGGGTAACTTTTTCTGCACCTCTTAATTAGGTCTTATGGGATAGTAGACAAAAGAGCTCTTACCGTATCATGTAGGCAGGATGACTATGGACCTATAGCCTTTTCTCACCCAGGCTGTGTTTATCAAACCCAGTTGTTACCCAGCCATCACTTTTTCATTTTGGTTTTTAGAGGTGGGCTATTTTCACAGTGTATCTTTCATTGTTTTAATTTTAATTTTTATTTTTTTTTAAAGTTTATTTATTTATTTTGAACGACAGAGAGAGTGAGCATGAGCAGGGGAGGGGCAGAGGGAGGGGGAGAAAGAGAGAATCCCAAGCAGGCTCCGTGCTGTCAGCACAGAGCCAGACATGAGGCTTGAACTCCCAAGCCATGAGATCATGACCTGAGCCGAAATCCAGTTGGATGCTTAACTGACTGAGCCACTCAGGCTCATTTTTTAAATTTTTAAATAAGTGTATACTTCACTCATTTCTTGCACCTCCCACCCCACCTCCTGTCTCTGGCAACCACCAGTCTGTTCTCTGTATCCATGAGCTTGGTTTTGTTTTGTTTTGTTTTTTGATTCCACATATAAGAGGTATCATAATGGTATTTGTCTTTCTCTGTATGATTTATTTCACTTAGCATAAGTGAACCTCTTCAGGGTCCATCCATATTGTTGTAAATGGCAAGATTTCATTCTTTTTTATGGCTGAATAATATTCCAGTGTGTGTGTGTGTGTGTGTGTGTGTGTGTGTGTGTGTGTGTGTGTATACATACCGCATTTTCTTTCTCCATTCATCCATTGATGGCCATTTAGGTTATTTCCATATCTTGCCTATTGTAGATGATGCTGCAGTGAACATGGGGGTGCATATTATCTTTTTGAGTAGTGCTTTTGTTTACCTCTGATAAATACCCCAAAGTAGAATTACTAGATCATATGGGAGTTTTATTTTTAATTTTTTGAGGAATCTCCATACTAGTTTTCATAGTGGCTACACCAATTTACAATCCCACCAACAGTGCACAAGGGCTCCCTTTTCTTCACATCCTTGCCAACACTTTTTATTATTTATCGTCTTTTTGATCTTAGCCATTGTAACAGGTATGAGGTGATCTCGTCATGGCTTTAATTTGCATTTCCCCATTTCCCTGATGCTTAATGATGTTGAGCATGCTTTCATGTACCTGTTGGCTATCTCTATGTCTTCTTTGGAAAAATGTTCAGATCTTCTGGCCACTTTTTAATCAGATATTTTTTTTTTTTTTTTTTTTTTTGCTATTGAGCTATGTGAGTTCTTTATGTATTTTGGATATTAGTCCCTTATCAGATATATGGCCTGAAAATATTTTCTCTTTCACTTATTTTCAATCTGAAACTTTGTTAAAACTTTTTAAAAGGTTGAGATCATCGTAATGTGTAGTAGTTATTCATTGCTGCTCACTTTAAAAAACGCATGACTGTAATTTGCCTCGGAGAATCCCTCATCTCTCCTCCCTCCCCACTTCTTAGCTCTTCTCCTCTGCCCCCATTTCATCACTTCCCACTCTGGTCTGACTTTTGCCCCTACCACTCCACTGAAACTGCCCTTACCAAGGTCACCTGGAAGCTCCTTGTTGCCAAACCCAATGGACACTTTTTAACACCTGTCTTCCTTGACTTTGCTGCAGCATTGACTACATCACTCCCTCCTCTCTTCTTCCTACTCCTGTTGCTTTTCCTTCTTAGATGCCTCCATCAGTTGCCCCTCCTCTACCAGCTTCTTCATGTTGGCTATTAAATGTTGGGATAAAGCTCTCGGCGTATATCCATAGTCCTCTTCCCATTTTATTTGCTCCCCAGGTAATCTCAAAGGCACCTGACTTCAGCCATCTCCACTTGAGACCCCGTACTTCCTTGAGCTTCAGATCCCACATACTCCACTGTGCATGTGTCACAGGTACATCAAACTCAGCATGTCCAAAACAGAACTGTACGTTTTCCCCTGTGAATCTTTTCCCTTTCTCACAGAATGGCCCTGTTGCTACCTGTCTGGTCGCTCAGGCCAGCTTACCCACCTAGTTGCCAAGTCAGTTTGGCTCCCAGTCTTTCTCCCAGTCTCCCTTCCTCCTGGTCTACTCAGTCACTGAATCCTTCTAAAGGATAATACCTTCTAAAAATCTTTCTCTGTCCCTTTTTCTGCTCTCTTAGATTAAGCCCTAAGCTCTTAGTGCCTGAATGACTGCAGTGGCCTTCTCTCTGGCCTCTTTGAACCTCCGTAGTCTAGACCAACCATCTCTTTCTAAAATAGAAATCTGATGTCAAGCCCCTGTTTATTTATAACCCTTCTATGACTTCCTTTCGTTTTCGAGATATAGTCTAAACTCTCTTCTCCAACTTGCAAGGTCTTTTATGACTCAGCTCTTGCCGATCTTTTACACCTTAGCTCTGCCACTTTATAACCCAGCCATACTGAGCTACGTGTGATTCCCTGAATGGGCTGTGTTCTCTCGCTCTTCTGTGACTGGATGTGTACTACTGTGCCTCCTACCTGGAAAACCTCTTTTACTTGTTTCCTTGCTTAGGTGACATCTTTGGAAAGGCTTCCCTATTGTCCCACTTCCTCAGGCTTGGTTAGGTACCTCTTTTCTGTTTTTATAACACCTTGTAAAACACCTTGTGCTGTAATTGTTTATTTTGTCTGTTTTGCTAACTGGACTGAGGGCTACTTGGAGGAGGGACCTTGTTTTCATCTCTGAACCCTGGGGACCTTCTCAGCACAATACTCTGTTTGTATATATTAAAAGGATGGTTGGCAAGTTAGTGTGAAAGGCAACAGGGAGGTAAAATGTGATACTGGTGTGCTGTACATCTTGGAGTTAAGCAAAGATCCAGAAGTTTGAGTTCAGTTTGCAGTTGAAGTATATCTATACAATAAAGTATTACTTGACCATAAAAAGGAATGAAGTTCTGATACATGCTACAACATGGATAAACCTTAAAAACATGATGCTAAGTAAAGAAGGCAGACCTACAAAGTCGCATATTATAGGATTCTATTTGTATGAAATGTCCAGGATAGGCAAATCTATATATAGGGAAACAGATTAGTGATTGCCGGGGCCTAGGAGTTGAGGGGAGTGGAAATGACTGCTAATAGGTATGGGGTTTCTTTTTGGAGCAGTGAAAATGTTTTGGAATTGGATGGTGGTGATCAGTATACAACTTTGTGAATATACTAAAAGCCACTGAATTGTGTGGTTTAAAAGGGTAAACTTTATGGTATGTGGATTACATCTCAGTAAAGCCATTATTAAATAGTTTGATCAACATAGATTTTGTTTGTGCACACTTGAATACCAATATGATGATCCAAGAACAATTCTAGCAATATCTTGATGTCATAGTGCCAGGCTGAGAACTTCTATTCCGTGTTTTGATTTTAAAGCACATGTTTTAAAATTGCAATCTGACCTTTTAGTGGTAGAAGAACTGGATCGATCCACAAATATTATTGACGTTCCAATTTGTTAAGTGTGTATGGTTTGGCCAACCCGGTACTGTAGGGTTGAGTTATTTCTCAATAACTTGAGAAATGTTGTGTTTTGTTTAACAGTCTTGTGAATAGGCGGATGGAGGGGGAGGTGGTAAACATATTTCTAACATGATCACACTGTCCGTTTGGGACACCTTAGAGCATATTCTGTGTGCAGGTAATTTGAAGGTGTTTTTTCATTGTGTTACATTCGTCATCACTTCTTGTTGACTTAGAAAGGCAGTGATATATGCTGTACCCTAGGGAATGTTTTTCCCTCTTGTCCCACTGTAGTATATGAATATTGGACTCAGATTTGTGAATTGAGTAATACTTTAAAATATAACTGCGTTCAGCCTAAAAATTGGTTCTGAAGCACAGGGGACTATCATAAGAGTTCTTTTGCTCTCAACCCAAAGGTATGTATGGGGTATAAAAGAAGTAGTCTTTGTCCTAGAGAAGAGCTTATATGGTTCTTTTATTATTTCCAGGTCTTTTGGTGGGCCTTGTGCTTCGATATGGCATTCATGTCCCAAGCGATGTAAATAATGTGACCCTGAGCTGTGAAGTGCAGTCAAGCCCAACTACCTTATTGGTAAATGTTAGTGGGAAATTTTATGAATATACACTTAAAGGAGAGATCAGTTCACATGAACTCAATAACGTGCAAGATAATGAAATGCTTAGAAAGGTAAGTTCTCAGTTAAAGGGACTATTGGGATTTTTTAAAAAAGTGTATATGTAACTAGCAGCAAAATGATTCAGGAGAAAAATTTATAATGAATTTTTAATGATGTTTGAAATCATCTGTCTTTTAAAATGGAGAAAGATCTCAATTAACAAACGTAATGCTAAGGAAATGGACATCTGTACATTTCATTTTCTGATTGAGGCTAAGTACTGTAATCCTTTTTGTTTCACTGCATGATGTTTATAATTGTAATAAATGGTGACCAGTATTGACTTGAGCAGAATTCATAAGCATTTCTTTCAATTTGCAGATGGTCTTTAGAGTTTTATCGTACATCAGCACATTGAGTAATACCTAAAATATTCCATTAATATTTCTCTGAATTCTTTCTTGCTTTGATTGTATTCTATACTGAGGACAATTTAATCTTTCTTTGATTCATAATCTGGCACAACTTCAGGGTCCCCATTCTGAGTATCAGTTATTGTACCATGCTGTGTATAAAGCTTTATGTAGGAGGCTGTGTTGCAGTCTTACTGGCTCCCAGACATTCCTGGAGCTGCTTTCTCCTGTCCCCATCATAGTCCCCCCTCCCGTGAAGCTTCTAAGGGCTTCATCGCGCATGTCTCTTTTTTTCCGCCCACCCTTGGCCATTTGCCTCCATTTCTGTCTTCTGCATGGGCAGGACTTGGCTCTCATAGCTACTTGGTTGTGGTCCTGACCATCTTTAATGCTTTTTAAAATTTCATACGAACTTCATTTACTTTGCAGCAAGAGTTCTTTCCACCTGTGGAAAATTTCAGTTCCTTAAAAGTTCTAGTAAATAAAATTTTAGCATGGGCTATGTGTGTAGCTGCTTTCTGTTCATGTCAGATCCTACCGTAGCCTCATGAACAGAAAGGGGTGCCTGTATTATTATAGGGAATAGATATTAAAAGAAATAGGCTGTCAGGACTAGAAATCTTAGTCACACAGAAGTATTTTAACTGTAATATTATGCTATATATTTTTAGGGATGTTCCCTATGTAAGAAGTCTGTTTCTTCTTGCCAGCAATAATGCCATACCCCCAAATTTTGTTACCAGTTTGAGGTCTCTTTTATTTAAAGCAAAGATATGTTCATGGTTTTTTTTTCCCATTTTAAAGATTTTTTAAATGTTTATTCTTGAGACAGAGACAGACAGAATGTGAGCAGGGGAGGGACAGAGAGAGACACACACACAGAATCCAAAGCAGGCTCCAGGCTCCGAGCTGTCAGCACAGAGCCTGACGCGGGGCTTGAACTCACCAGCCGTGAGACCATGACCTGAGCCAAAGTTGGACACAACACACTGAGCTACCCAGGCGCCCCCCCCCCTCGTTTTTAAGATCTTTAATGTCATAGTATTTTTTTTAACATTTTTTATTTTTTTAAAATTTACATCCAGATTAGCATATAGTGCAACAATGATTTCAGGAGTAGATTCCTTAGTGCCCCTTACCCATTTACCCCATCCCCCCTCCCACAACCCCTCCAGCGACCCTCTGTTTGTTCTCCATATTTATGAGCCTCTTCTGTTGTGTCCCCCTCCCTGTTTTTATATTATTTTTGTTTCCCTTCCCTTCTGTTCATCTGTTTTGTCTCTTAAAGTCTTCATATGAGTGAAGTCATGTGATTTTTGTCTTTCTCTGACTAATTTCACTTAGCATAATACCCTCCAGTTCCATCCACGTCGTTGCAAAGGGCAAGATTTCCTTATTTTTGATTGCCGAGTAATACTCCATTGTATAAATATATATACCACATCTTCTGTATCCATTCATCCATCGATGGACATTTGGGTTCTTTCCATACTTTGGCTACTGTTGATAGTGCTGCCATAAACAATGGGGTGCATGTGTCCCTTCAAAACAGCACACCTGTATCCCGTGGATGAATGCCTAGTCGTGCAACTGCTGGGTTGTAGGATAGTTCTATTTTTAGTTTTGTGAGGAACCTCCATCCTGTGTTCCAGAGTGGCTGCACCAGCTTGCATTCCCATGTCATAGTATTTTTTAATGTTTATTTATTCTTGAGCGAGAGAGCGACAGAGCATGAGTGGGGGAGGGGCAGAGAGAGAGAGGAAGACACAGAATCTGAAGCAGGCTCCAGGCTCTCCAGGCACAGAGCCCGACGTGGGACTCAAACCCACGAACTGTGAGATCCTGATGTGAGCTGAAGTCGGAAGCTTAACCTACTGAGCCACCCAGGTGCCCCTAATGCGTGTATTGTAACACGCTTTCCACAGATAGGACTTAACAGATTGCTCCGACACTGTCTCCTTGTCGTTTGGTTGAGAAATAGAACAACAGCTATCCTATATGAAATATTTTGCAGTTACCACAGTAATATTCTTGCCTTTCACCAGTTTAAAATTAAATCTTTTTTCTTTTTGATAATTTGATAATGTAATACGAGGTCTCCTAAGGGAATTCATCTAAAAGAACTCTTTATTTTAACAGGTTACCTTTGATCCAGAAGTATTTTTCAACATATTGCTTCCTCCTATCATATTTTATGCAGGATATAGTCTGAAAAGAGTAAGTGCTTTTGTATTTCATATACTTTAAACGACCTTAACCTCCATGGGCTTTTTCATCTTTGTCACTTCAGAAATAGGCAGTTCTTTCCAGATTTCCCTCCCTTCTCTCCCTGCTGAAATTTATGCCTGCACAAAAATTCTTTCTCTTACTTATTTCCTTTAATGAATAATGCATTTAATATTAGCAAAGCAGACTAGAATAGAAAGCCTTTTCTTTTTCAAATAATTGGTAAGTATTCTAACGCACTATAACTTTTTTTTTTTTATCAGAGACATTTCTTTCGAAACCTTGGGTCTATCCTAGCATATGCTTTTCTTGGAACAGCAATTTCTTGTTTTGTAATTGGGTAAGTACTTGAAGGTTAAAACATTTTTTATCCTTCAAATTATACTTTTTAAATAATGCATATTCAATTTTTGCGGTATTGTTCCTGAGTGTGTCTAAGGACCTTTTTCAGTAAAATGTATTCACATAGATATCAAGTTGTTCGAATTTCCCTTAAGGCCAAGGTATTACCATATTTAAATGACATGAGTTAAATTTGCGATTAGTCACCGAGTACTACAGTAGACCCATCTTCTTAGGATATTCTAACTTCTGTAACAGTTACTGTTTTCTCTAAAGTAGAAATGTGTTTATTGACCAGGTCAATAATGTATGGCTGTGTCACACTGATGAAAGTGACCGGACAGCTTGCGGGAGATTTTTACTTTACAGACTGTCTGCTGTTTGGTGCCATTGTATCAGCAACTGACCCAGGTATGTGTCCACGAGAGGGGAGCTTAAGTTCTTAAGTACTTATGGTACCATGTTTTGGCAGCAAAACGGTGTGTGTGTGATCCTTCCTTTAGGTGTAGAATTCATAAATTCCCATAGTATTATACTTTCCAACTGTGGAGGAAAAAACAAAATGTATGGGCCCTTTTGGCTTAAACATACATTTTGTTTTTATTTTATTTTATTACTTTTGCTCATTAGTGGTCCACAGTTTGATGCTATTTAGATGAGGGCTCTAAGGCCTTTGCTTCAGAAATTCAGGTTGGTTCTATCTTTAGTAATTGGGTATTTGGTGACTATGAACTAGATTAGTTAAAATGGGTAATAATAGTATATTCTTTCAAGCTTCTGGAAACCATTTCCTTAAAAATCTAATGTTTATATTCAACTATCTGCATTTAAGAGTAAGAAAACCAGTTTTTAAATGATTGTTAGAAGGCAGTTGTGTGGGGTACCTGGGTAGTTTAGTCAGTTGAGGGCCCTACTCTTGATTTCAGCTCAGCTCATGATCCTAGAGTCATGGGATTGAGCCCTACATTGGGCTCCATGCTGACCATGGAGCCTGCTCAAGATTCTCTCTCTCTCTCTCTCTCTCTCTCTCTCTCTCTTTCTCTCTCTTTCTCCCTCTCCCTCCCTCCCTCCCTCCCTCTGCCCCTCTCTCCCACTTGCACACTTGCTCTATCTCTCTAAAATAAAAAAATAAAAATATTTATAAATATGTATTAAAAAAAGAAGGCAGTTGTGCCTCTATAAGCGTGATTTGGCATCATTGGTGGGCCTTACTGTACATTAAAGGATTGGTTTTACAGCTATTAAATAGTTTTGATATGAGCACAGCTGGAGAATGAATGTAGTTCTATAGAGTTAGTTTGTAGCTTTTGTGATACAGTACTGGTGAGCCTCACAGCTACATTCACATTAGGAATCTAGAGAATATGCACACTGGGGGCACCTGGGTGTCTCAGTCGGTTAAGCGTCCGACTTTGGCTCAGGTCATGATCTTACGGTTTGTGAGTTCGAGCTTGGCGTCGGGCTCTGTGCTGACGGTTCAGAGCCTGGAGCCTGCAACGGATTCTGTGTTTCCCTCTCCCCCCATCCCCCGCTCACACTCTGTCTCTCAAAAATAAATATTAAAAATTTAGAGAATATGCAGGCTGAAGACGTAGCAATGGGAATGTAGACTGCAGTTTTTGAACTCAGGATGCAGGGTTTCTTTTACTAGGCTTTAGAACCTTGGCAGAGGTTTGTTCTGTTTTACTTTTTGCCCTTGTTCATTTACTGATCTACTTTAATTGTCATCCAGTACAATTCAAGGTATGATCTTAAGGTTAACTCTGAATTCCTGTGTTAACTGATAACACAGGGAATTATATTACAGGAAGTAGGAAAATATGTTCTCTATATGAGATGATTTTATAAAGCTCAGAGGGCATTTTAGAGAGGCGTTTGTGTAGTTTAACATTTTTTTTTTAATTTTTTTTTTCAACGTTTATTTATTTTTGGGACAGAGAGAGACAGAGCATGAACGGGGGAGGGGCAGAGAGAGAGGGAGACACAGAATCGGAAACAGGCTCCAGGCTCCGAGCCGTCAGCCCAGAGCCTGACGCGGGGCTCGAACTCCCGGACCGCGAGATCGTGACCTGGCTGGAGTCGGACGCTCAACCGACTGCGCCACCCAGGCGCCCCTAACATTTTTAAAACTGAAAATCAAATTGCTCCCTTAAAGACAATGAAGGCTGCCACCTTACTGTTTAGAGCTGCACGCATTATCAGTGTGAAAATAGGATGGTTTTTGCAAGGAGCCAGTGGTCTCTCTTTTCTGGGTCCTTTTGCTTGGAAGCAAGGTCCTCGACTGCAATGTCTGTGAGAAATCTGAGTCAAGTGGACTAGCTCCGTTACTTCAGTCTTCCGGTTTTGTTTTGGTTACAAAATATTGCCGGAGTGGCTCTAGCGAAACTGTTTTGCTTATATTAAGTTGGACAGTTACATCTCTTCTGAGTTATATAGGCATTTGCCCCTATAATAATTCTGTTATTTTATAATTGTATACTTGTTAGAAGGGTGAGCTGTAAATCCTCTTCTCAAAATTCTTCAGCACTGCTTTTGCCCTCCTCCCCTTGGTAAGCTTTTATCTCCATATATTCCAGATGAAATGCTTTGCAGTAGAAACTACATCTTTTAAAATGGAAGTTTCCTGTTTTGTTGGTTGGCATTTGAAAGAGCTATCCCATCTCTGGTTATAATATTCTTTCATGTGTGCTCGGGTTTGTCCAGGGAGTGAGCTGTATGTGACTCAGCAATCAAAGTTATAATGCAACTTCAGTCTCATCTGATTTTCTAAGAATTCTCATAGAATTGTTGCCTAGAAGAAGGATTTTTTTTATCTTCTCAAGCTGTAATCGTCTGATCATTGGCGTCTTATTAAATATAGAAGCTATAACTCTGGTCATAAATTTTATCTCAACCAATACCAAACTTGTGCCTTTCACTTCCTACTGTCTTGGCTAACCCAGTGTGCTTGAAATTTGCAAGCCAAATAGAAATGAGTTGTAAGTCTCCAAAGAAAAAAAGGAAATTTGCAGGAAGAGATGCTTTTCATAATACCCTTCTTCATCAAAGATTAATGATTTCCTGGTCTGTAAGAAATTTTGTATATATTCTTTATGGAAAAGAAATATACAAGACAAGAATATTAGCATTTGCATGACACATGTAGGTCAACTCAGTCCTCCAAGCTAATTTCAGCTCTTTGTAAGATAAAGGAGATGTTGCAGGTACACAATTAGGGAAGAGAGAAGTATCGACATGAACTTACCTAATCTTTAATATGATAAGAGAATGTTTATGGGGATTGGATCCTAAGAGGTAGAGATGAATTTCTAAGTAACCATCATAATCACGTGTGGAGACGACTATGTCATATTTGTAATATCTGAATATTCCTCTGACCCTTTCTACTTGCTAGTGACTGTCCTTGCCATATTCCACGAGCTTCAAGTGGATGTTGAACTCTACGCACTTCTTTTTGGGGAGAGTGTCCTCAATGACGCCGTTGCCATAGTGCTGTCTTCGTAAGTGTTCTTTTTTCTTACTATATTCTGTATATTCAATGTCAGGGTACTAGGAACCACAAGTTACTTATTGAATAAAGTGCATTATGAATGCAGACATTTGAAACAATGAGGCTTTTGTTTCCTCTTAAAGAAATACATACTTACAGACAACATGGAAAACTCCAGGAAGAAAAAGGAAGAAAAAATGATATGTCCTCCTCACACCTAAAGACAGTTACTATAAAGATTCAGGGTACATTGCCTTTTATTTTTGTTTTGTATCCATGCTATTTTTACACAGTTGTGATTATGGCGTGTATATAATTTTTTACTCTTTTTTTTAACATTATAATATGAATGTTTCTCTTTAAATTAAATTTTGGAACAGATAATATATTTACGTGGTTCAAAAATCAAAACCATATAGAGAGGTGACATAGAAAAGTCACATTTTTACTCCTGTTCTCCTCCACCTGTCCCCCCAGCCCCTGATATGTAACCTTTTTTATTAATTTCTTGTGCGTCTTCCTGTGTCTTATACAAATGCAAATACACAGATGAATAAATATTTTTATTTGCCTCTTAGTTCTTATTTTAAAAGCAGGATAAATATGTTCTATACCTAGCTTTCTCTCATGCAACTATATCCTGGAGATCTTTCCAAATCAATACAGAGGGTTTACTCATTCTATGTACTATACTATGAACTGTATTATAGTTTATTTAATCAGTCTCCTATTGCTGGAAACTTAAGAGTTTTCAGTCCTTTGCTATCCCAAGCAATGCTGCAGTGATTAACCTTGAACTCACCTGTTTTATACGGACAGAGGTATATTAGTGGGATAATTTTCCAGAAGTGAGATTAGCATGTTAAATGGTAAATACATTTGTAATTTTTTTAAAATTTTTTTTTAACGTTATTTATTTTTGAGAGACAGAGCATGAGTGGGGAAGGGGCAGAGAGAGGAGGAGACACAGAATCCGAAGCAGGCTCCAGGCTCTGAGCTGTCAGCACAGAGCTCGACACGGGGCTTGAACTCACAAACTGCGAGATTATGACCTGAGCCAAAGTCAGACGCTCAACTGACTGAGCCACCCAGGCGCCCCTATACATTTGTATTTTTGTTAGACATTGCTAAATCGCCCGTCAAAGAGATTATGCCATTTTGTACTTTAACCATTGAATTATGGGAGTGCGTGTTTCCTCATAGCTTCACCAACAGAATATTTGTCAAACTTTTGTATTTTTGCCAATTTGATGATTGAGCAATCTCTCGTTGTAGTTCAAGTTGTATTTCTCTTCTTTAACATAAGCATTGCAGAAACATTTGTTAATTTTCAGAAGTGCCAAATAATACACTTTTTAAGGACAGTTATTGAAATGAGCAATATTTTAATCTACTTATAGAAATTACTATGCATGTTATTAGAAGTGTTTGCAGGTGAATGAGTGTAAACCTCTGAGGAATTCAATCCTGCCAATCCACTCCTACTAAGCAAATACCTAGCCCTGTAAACAGTTGCCTTTACTCCAAACCATCTAGTGGGTGGAGGCCAGGGATGCTGCTCAGTATCCTTCAATACACGGGACAGCATTCACCACCCAGCAGATAATTCTCTGGCCCCAAATATCAATAGTGCCGGGACTGAGAAACCCTGGTGTTCTAACCAAGATCACTTTTACATTGTTAACATTGAAATTAGTATCACCTACTCTTTTGTATTCTATCTTTTGTCATTATTTATGATAATAAAATTAATACGTTTGTAACAAAAATTTCAAAGTATTTGACTTAGAATGGAGAAAATTCCTGAAATTTCAGCTCTCAGAAATAACCACTGTTAGTTTTCATCCAGACTTTTCCTTTAGAATAATAAAATGCATATAAATATGTTAATAATTTTTTAAAAAAGCATAGCACTAAACATATTCTTCTATAACTTGCTTTTCTCATTTGGACATTTTACTACATTAATAACTTCTATTATCCTATTGTATGTATACACCACAAATTTACCTCTCCTATCCCCTATTAATGTGTGGTGTTTTCTGATACGTTATTGTGAATGGCACTGCAGTGAACATATTTATGTGTAAATTTCTATGAATCATTATGGATATTTCTGTAGGATATTTTTTAGAAGTAGAATTTCTAGGGGCGCCTGGGTGGCTCAGTCGGTTAAGTATCTGACTCTTGGTTTTGGCTCGGGTCATGATCTTGCGGTTTGTGAGTTCAAGCCCCTCATCAGGCTCTGTGCTGATGGTGTGGAGCCTGCTTGGGATTCTATCTGCTCCTTCCCCACTCAGGATAAATAAACTTTAAAAATTTTTTTAAAAAAGAAGTAGAATTTCTAGGCCAATGGATATGACCAGTAAAACATTGAGAGAGGTGGTCCTATTTCCCTCTAAAAACAGATCTACTTTGAAAGTTGCACAACATGTAAAAGGAGCCACAGGTATAGTAATGTAGTGTCCAGGAATGTAGCACAAGAAAATAGTCCAAAATTTGTAAAAAGTGTAAATATGCTCTTTCACATTTTTGTTTAGAGTAGCAAAAATATTAGAAGCAACTTTTAAATATCTAACAGTGGGGAAATGGTTAAACAAATTGTTACATCCATCTGGACCATTTTTGAAGTCTTAAAAACCATGGTTAGAGAGACTAATAGTTTATGTCATTGTCGGATGAAGAAGCAGAATTAAAAACCATATATTCCCTATAATTACAACTAAACATGAAATAGCACACATGTAACAAGTAGAGGGGAAAGAAATAGAGAAGGCAAATAAGACAGCTCTGTCAGGGCAGTAGAACGAAGGAATGATTTTTCCCCCTCAATTGTACATTGTATTACTTTTAGGATTAACAAAAGTATTTATAGGGGCGCCTGGGTGGTTCAGTCGGTTGAGCATCCCACTTGGGCTCAGGTCATGATCTCACGGTTCATGGGTTCGAGCCCTGCATCGGGCTCCGTGCTGACAGCTCAGAGCCTAGAGCCTGTTTCGGATTCTGTGTCTCCCTCTCTCTCTGCCCCTCCCCTGCTCACACTCTGTCTCTCTCTGTGTGTCTCTCTCAAAAATGAATAAACATTTTAAAACATTTTAAAGTATAAAAATATGGCTGCCTCAAGATAAAGTAATATTTGTGGAAGAGATGAGCTAGGATATCAATCCAGAGGCCAGTGTTTGACAAGAAAAAATAAGCCTCTCGTGTGTTCTCAGCCCACCATGCTTTCATGTGTTCCTGTATATTTTAGTGATTAAAGAACAAAATCATGACTAGTGTGAGTCTTGAGTTTACATGAACGAATCCAGGGAAAGCAGTCTTAGGAGGCATGGCGTAGATATTTTTTTTTTGTTCCAGCCAGCATTTTGAAAGCTGTCACCAGGGAGAAAGAAGATTGTAGCAGCAAGATTCTTTTCTCCAGCCAGCTGCTACATTTTCCTGTTCTTGTGTGGTCAAATCTCATTTATGGTGGTGAGGCCCTTTATGTATGGGCAAGATAGCATGACATTAGAAGCCATTTGTTATTTATTAAAATAATAATTTTTTAACCTAACTGGGGAGGCATGAGAAGAACTTGGTATACATGGTGTAGCAAGCCCACTTTTCAGCCTTGAACCTTAAAACACACACACACACACACACACACACACACACACACACACACACACTGCAGTAACCACAGGGAGAATTCATTATATATTCCTAGGAATGTGTTTTTTCTCCTTCGTCTCTTTGACATGACTTATATGATATCTTTGAGTCTAGACTTTTTATAAAAACCCTCGGACCTCAATTAACTGAGATGAGAACTGATTTAGTAATGGTAGGTACTCTCGCCAGACACCTGCTGGCAACAGTGATTTTCTCCGCCATTTCTGTTGGGCGACTGTTCTAAAAAGAAGCATTTTTAGACCAGGTTTGGACTGTAGGTTCAAGATGGAGAGCGTCTCCTGTAATTGTCTGTCTTAGCTTCTTGCAGAATGACTTTTCTTTCAGAAGTTTGAGGTGAAGATCCAGCTGGGCAAGCTAAAAGTACGGTCAAGTGGATTCAAATTCCTTGGATGGACTTTCAGGCCCATTTGCCTGTAAAAGTCCATTTCAGTGAGTGAATGGATGTTAGGCATAGGGCCCATTCTGGTATTCTAAAAGTCGACAGGGAAAACAAAATGTGACCTGGTTGAGTACTGAACAGTATTGAGCAGTATTCTTTATATTCTTATCCCTCTGCTGGAAATAAGTGGAATTTTTCATTAGTTTCTTCACATTAGTGTGTCAGGGCTTGTAGGCACTGAGTGCTAGTAAGTCTTAAACAGAGTCCTGAAAGAATAGTGCTGCACAGAATGTTGTCACTGGAGGAAAAGCCTTGGTGCAACTTCATATAGAGGACCGTAAAACATTCTGTCCCCTGAAAATGTCATTTACATAAAAGCGGAGTTTTCTTGCTAGTTGCATCCACCACAGGGCATTTTGGTAACCTTTTGTCCTTGTTTTGGCAATTCGAATAGAAAGTTTTTGTCCTCTCCCCCACACCCCCCACCCTGACCCCAATTTCATCTTTCAAGCTCTGCTACACCAGATGATGTATGTATGTATGTATGTATTTATTTATTTATTTATTTATTTATTTATTTATTTTTATTTTTATTTTTTTTTACATTGTTTTTAAAGTAAAACCTGCTTCTGGAAGTAAAAACAGTCACTCTTTTGTAGCTCAATAGTGGCATACCAGCCAGCCGGAGACAACAGCCACACCTTTGATGTCACAGCCATGTTCAAGTCCATTGGGATTTTCCTTGGGATCTTCAGTGGATCTTTCGCAATGGGTGCCGCTACTGGCGTGGTGACAGCTTTAATATCCTTTTATTAATTTTCCTTGTTAACCTAACAAAGTGGTTGAATACTGTATTCCACGGTCTCTCCTAATTCCATAATTGTCACTGTGTTATAATTATTAACCTTATAACCAAGTACTTGGCTTGAAAACGTTAGGCAGTCATCTTTTCCGATAGATAAATAAAGGAATTTCATCGTTTTGCATTCAGCTCCATGCCCTCAAACTTTCACTAAAAAAGTCTAACTAGAGACAGTGACCCCTCCAAGATTGTAGACTAAATTGATATAAGGTAAATATATTTCACAGAGCCTCGGAGTATTCTGCACTACTCTTCATTTGCTCTTTGTTGAATAGGACGAATAGAAATGTGCGACCACGATGCCTATTGAACAAAAGAGGCTTCCTGGGTTTGGACAGATGGGAGTTCATCTCAGCTCTTAACCGATTTTAACCTTCTGTTCCAGAGTCTTTGGCATTGCCACCAGTCTGCTACTGGAAATGTTGGGCAAGCCACTCTTATGTTCATTCAAAAAACACTTCCTGATTGCCTCCTGCATGCCAGATGCTACGCTCTGGGCGTCAAAGATGGACAAGACAAACGTGGCCTCTGCCTTCCTGGTGCTTCCTGTATAGGAGCACCGACATTTCGCCTGTGGACCTTTAGTGTAGGAAGGTGGCAGGTGGGGACAGCAGGGAAGATGAGTGGGACTAGATGACCTCTAAAGAGCTTCCAGTTCGAGAACTGTAAGATATTTTTATATAAAACAAATACTCTTTGGGGCACCTGGCTGACTCCGTCAGTAGAGCGTGTGACTCTTGATCTCAGGGTTGTGAGTTCAAGCCCCACATTGGGTGTAGAGGCTACTTAAAAGTAAAATCTTTTAAAAAAATTTTTAAATCTTTATTTATTTTTGAGAGAGAGACAGAGTGTGAGCAGGGGAGAAGCAGAGAGAGAGGGAGACACAGAATCCGAAGTGGGCTCCAGGTCCCGAGCTGTCAGCACAGAGCCCGACGCGGGGCTCAAACTCACGAACCGTGAGATCGTGACCTGAACCGCAGTCGGACGCTCAATCAACTGAGCCACCCAGGAGCCCCAAAAATAAAATCTTAAAAAAAAAAAAAACTTTTTTCAAGGATCTGTAAGTTTGCTCTACTTCAGCTTTGCACTGGAAGGGACTGGTCTTATGGCTTTTTACAGGTGAACTGAGGCACAAAGAGACAGTAAGATGTTCTGAAGGAGGAGCCAGGACAGATCGTATCACTGCCCCATTAACAATCTCCTTGAGGGTAAGGAGTATATCTTGTTAGGAATCTTTTTGTTGTGGTACACAGTTGTTGAAGCGAATGTAGACTCCAGTCTGAGATTTGTCACAGGCCTACACAGGCCCTTCTCCCCTTGACTAACAAAATACTTTTGAGATTAGTGTACGTGGGTGACGTGCCTCAGTTGCTTCATCATGGACTACTCTGCATCACAGAGGTGCTAGGGGATCAAATGAACATGAAATCTCATGGAAATGCCATGTACTGAGTGATGAATGTAAATCGCTATAATTACGGAAGCTGTCTTGCTTCGGGTTGCAGATTTATAATCAGAGCTGGCATGTTGTGTGTCTGCTCTGTCACTCCCGTCTCTGCCTGTCCTTTATGATGTGGTTTCCGGCAAGGCATGCGATACCCATAAAACGATCGGATTGACAAAACTGCGGCTTCCTCATGGAAGCAAAGACTGCTGACTCCTCAGTATGACGCTCATTTTAAGAGTTCCTTCGCTTTGGTGCCTCCTTATTCTGTGACTTTTGTGTTAGACCGGAGAACCCTTCTTGCGTGGTTGCCTTGCTTCGACTTTTTTTTTTCTAGTCGCACTTCTGTATCACGAGATCTTGTTATCAACCTTGACGGTCTTACGTGACAAAGTTCACCAAATTACGGGAGTTCCATTTGTTGGAGACAGGCTTGTTCTTCTTGATGTCCTGGAGTACTTTCCTCTTGGCTGAAGCGTGGGGTTTCACAGGTAGGGTCCTTGCCCCTTTTCATTGTAAACGTTCACAGGGAGTGACTTTAGCAGTCATTTTTTTTTTTTTCTACCTATGGGCAGAGCTTCTAGTATTGGAACAAACTCGTTAGGGTTGGGATTTACGCAGTTACTTCATGGCATAAAAAGAAAAGATTTTTAACGGAAGTGGTTCCTCTTAACAAAGTAAGTGACAACTGGAAATTCCACCACTGAGCATATGATCTTGTGTGAATTCTCCTTTGATGTGAACTTGGAACTTGTTGTCTTTATAGGTGTGGTTGCAGTGTTGTTCTGCGGCATCACACAGGCCCATTACACGTACAATAATCTGTCCACAGAGTCTCAGCATAGAACTAAACAGGTAAGACAAACTTTAGTTTGTGAATAAACTTTTCCTCCTTGCAGCAAAGCAGAAGTCTTTTTTTTTTTTTTTTTTTTTTAAGAAAAATCATCTTTTGTTTGTTCCAAACAGTGCCTATTCATTTCAGCTTCTCTCACTTTGACTCTGGAAATCGATGGGGGTTGAAGGGTGGCAGCTCTTAGGGTAGAGATAGTTCAGCACAAAAGCGAGGGGCCATTAGTATCGTGGCTCCAGCGATCAGTTAGCTTCCTTTCCTTGTTTTCCTAAGAGGAACGTTTTGGAAGTTCGTTCAGGTCTGACTAGAAGTACCTCCGGGTGATAGAAATAAGGTTCATTTCTGATCCGACTGGGTCTGCTGCCGGGTGCCCCAGAGAAGAGAAGATCGACTTCCTTTCAGGCACTTCACAGCCGCTGTGTTTCCAGGAACGTCAGCTACACCAGTGCTTGGGTTTCCCATGGTACTGAATGATCAGTTGTGCAGGGTACCTGAAGGGAGTTCTAAAGGAAATAGACGTAGGGTTTTCTAGTCTTACGAAGCGTATGGAACGAGTGGATGAACAATACGTAATGTCTGGAATAGAAACATGCCCGATTATGGTTATATCGAGAAATCCAAGCTTTCCGTTTTCCCAAATGATTAGAACACAGTGAGATTACCCGGGAAAGGACTCCTCTGATAAAGCAGGAGCAAATGCCCTAATTCTTTTTTTCTTTCTTCTGGAGCCAGAAATGTAGCATATGAACCTGTGCTTTTTTCTAACTCCTCGAGAGATTAGACTTTTCTTCCCCAAGCATATACACTGGGGCTACAAATCCCTTTTACAAATTCATTCACTTCATTAAGTGTAGAGAAGAAAATCAGCTGGGGTATTTGGCATTTTTTCTAGACAATGAGGTGGGGAATTCAGAAGCAACAAGGCAGGAGTTTCCAGTCTTATTGGTGATATGAAGCTTGTATAGCAGTAAAAAAAAATCCCAGATTAATAGAACTTCTAGATTCTATGTTTCAGATGATATGTCCTACAAGAGGTCAGAGAAGTGGAGAGAGGGTTTGAGGCCTGAAGAGGCGGGAAAACTATCAGAGAAGTGGGTAACGTTAGCGAATGGAAGCAGCGAAGTGTGGCCCCGGGGGTTGGCAGTCAATGACCAGACCTGCCTGTAAGGTCTGTGAGCTGAGGATGATGTTTACATTTCTCCAGTGGTTGGAAACAGATCGAAAGAAGAAGAAGATTTTGTGACACATGACAATGATATGAAATCCAGATTTCGGTGTCCACTAGTAGTTTTCTGGGCACACTGACACACCCTTTTTTTTTTTTTTTAACATGTAGTCCGTGGCTGCTTTTGTGCTTCATTGGCAGAATTGAGTGACTGTGACAGGGACCGTGTGGCCTGCAAAGCCTCAAATATTTACTTTCTCTTTGGTCCTTCCCAGGAAAAGTTTGCCAACCCTTGGTGTCGTGGATTAAAACAGAGATTCTGTGTTGTTCCAAATCCTGGTTCCAGTACTTGCTGGCTGTGTGACGGGGGCAAGTTACATCACTTCTCTGTGCTTCAGTTTTATTATCTTCAAAATGAGGATAATCATAATACCTAGCTCACGGAGTTGTGAGATTAAAACAAGATAATGCTTGTAAAAGTCGCAAGCATAGTACCAGGCGCATGATAAAAACTGTCTTAGCTATTAAACTAAAAAAGTTTAGCTTGATAATTAAGCAAATGAGTAACTAATAATAATAGTATATTAAGTCATTTAAAGTAAATTAAATATATACTTACTTATTTCCATTTTTAATTCCCATTTTTCAAGAATGAGGCAACTCCGGTTTAGAAAGGTTAACTTGCCCGGAGCTACACAGCCAGCTAGTGGGAAAAGCAGGATTCGAGCCAAGGCATTTTGACCCCCGGGCCCATGTTGTTACTTAACCACTACCCTGTTTAGTGGGCCAGAGGGCTCACGTTCAAGAGCAGTGGTAGATAACTCTGCTGGACCGAGGGATGTGGATTACAGAGGGCCTGGAATTCATTCGGTCGGCAAATCTTGAATCCCTATCGTGTCAGTAACACTTGACAGGCAGTGGTGTGAAGTGGTGGGGGTGGGCAGGCAGCAGGGGAGGGGACAGAGCATGTGGCTATAACGCGTAAGCCCCTGGTCCCTAAATGAGGGCTAAGACCCACGTCAAAAGTGAAATCACACGAGGAGGTGATACAAGACTTGTCATGAAGTGTTCAATGCCAAGAGAAGAGCATTTGAACTAGATGTTCCAGCCGAAAGGAGGGAAGGGTCTTCGAACTGCCATGCTGAGAGAGACCCCCTGGGTGAGGGTGCAGGATGGGGGCGTCAGGGACACAGTCAGGGGCCCTTTGCAGCAGTAGGGGCGGGCGGTGATGAAAGCCAGAAAGACAGACTAAGGCAGTGGCAGGGATGGCAAGGAACATGCCCAGAGAACACTTCACAAGGTTTGGAGAAGGAAGAGGAGAATGACTGAACATGGCGATTGGGCAAAGGAAGCCAACGGAGGGACGTGCAGAGGCGACATTCCTGGCTTTCTCCGTGGGACCAGAAATGTCCTGTCTACGTTTGTTCCCCTCTGAAGCACATATTTTGGGGATGTACGTGGGCTTTACCTAGGGGAAGGGCCTGCTTCATTATCTTAGTGATAGTCGTGTTTGCAAATGATGTAACTTAATGCACTTACTGGACTAACCTTTTAAAATTTCGTTTCAGTTGTTTGAGCTTCTCAATTTCTTGGCAGAGAATTTCATCTTCTCCTACATGGGACTGACACTGTTCACCTTCCAGAACCATGTCTTTAACCCGACATTTGTAGTAGGTGCATTTGTATCCTTTGTTATGTGTTCTATTTTGAAAACTTGTTTTCACTTGAGGCTTGCGCTTGTTTTCTGGAGGGGTGGTTGATAAGAATACATTTAAATATATGAAATTTTCCTCTGAGCAAAACGAATAAGGATTTCGACTCTTGTTCCTATTCTGTATTCCATTCTCTCTTCGTTGTTGTTGAGTGCACAGATAATACAGGTCAAAATGACAGAAGGAAGTCCCCGCCCATCCCGCCAGTCCCCCAGAATACAACTGTCCTCTGTCATTGAAGGGGAGAGAGAAAGAGTGGGTCCTGGGGAAGAGTTTGCGCTCTGCTCCCTAAGGCAGTGGTCGCAGGAGGGTGAAAGGCCGACGGAGGCTGCTTTCTTCTGTCTTAGTCTCTGTCCCTGTCTTTAAACAGCAGTCGGAATGGAAAAGCTGAGTCCATGAAAGCGAGTGCCAGCCTCAGGAGAAAGCAGGTGAAAATGGAATCTAACACATGTGGAGAGGGGTTGGCCTCCAGAGGGAGGAGGCACAGCTCCACTGTTGTCCCAGGAGAGGACAGGGCGTGTAAAGATGGCTGCCGTACACAAGTAAGATGGCATTCCTGTCTGCTGGCTTCTATTTTTATCTGTGGAGTAGGAGGCGGGAGCACCTGCTGAGAAGGAGGTAGGAGCAGGTGGCCTATCCGTTTTCTGTTGTAGAACAAATTAGCCTAAAATTTAGCAGCTTAAAACAACAAATATGTATTACCTCACACAGTTTCTGAGGGTCAGGAATCCGGGAGCAGCCTAGCTGGGTTCTGGCACAAAGATCTCTTGCGAGGTTACTGTCTCGCTCTGGGCTGGAACTGCACTCTCTCAGGACTTGACCGAGGGTGGGGGATCCTCCCCAGGCTCACTCATATGGCTGTTATGTGGCCTAAGTTTTTCTCCAGGGACTTCTCCATGGGACAGCTTACAACATAGCTTCCCCCAGAGGGAGAGCGTCAGGATGGAAGCCAGAGTGTCTTTTATAACCTAATCTAGGAAGTGACCATCATCCCTTCCACCTATTGGTCACACAGATGGACGCTGATACAGTGTGAGCAGGGACTACACAGAGGGGCGAGTACTAGGAGGCAGGGATCATTGGGAGCCATCTTGGAGGCTGTCTTCCACAGGTAATAGGAGTTTGGAGGAGATTTGGAAATAGTTGTAGAGAGTGGGGGAGCGAGTGAGCAAGTGAATTGACCAAAGAAATGCTGTGGGATTGCTGAGCGGTATTAAGGACCCATTTGGGTTTGAGGAAGAGGTAACTGACAGTGGAATCAGTCTGCCCTGTTGTACTATTGTGTCCAGGAGTACTTGGCTGGCAGCATGAAGAAGACTGAGATGGGTCCTTGCAGGTTTGGGGTCTAGTCCAGTGACTACAGTGAAATCCCAGAGAGGGGCAGATGAATCCAGGGTATAGGGAAGAGTGTTATTTTTTAATTTCTTTTTCTTAAGCTTATTTTTTTTTTTTTTTATTTTGAGAGAGAAAGAGAGCGTGAGTGGGGGAGAGGGAGAGAGAGAATCCCAAGCAGGCTCCGTGCTGTCAGCATGTAGCCCGACTCAGGGCTCCATCTCACAAACTGTGAGATCATGACCTGTGCCGGAATCAAGAGTCGAGACACTTAACCAGCTGAGCCACCCGGGCGCCCCGGGAAGAGTGTTAATAAGATGTGGCTGAGAATGGAAGCAAAGAGGAGAGAGGGCTGGACTGGTTGTTTGAGGGAAGAGTTGAGAACTCTTTGCGTGGGAGGTCCCAGGGAGGTGGGGGAACCATCCGAGTGGGATAGATAAACAAACATGGAAGCAGAGAGTGTGGTTGGGGGTGAGATGTTTGCATTAGTGGTTTCCAAAAGAAATAGTTTTAAAAACTTCAGAATGAAGTTTCTGCCAAAGAGATTAGCAGAGGGGCGCCTGGGTGGCTCAATCGGTTAAGCGTCCGACTTCGGCTCAGGTCATGATCTCACGGTCCGTGAGTTCGAGCCCTGCGTCGGGCTCTGTGCTGACAGCTCAGAGCCTGGAGCCCGCTTCAGGTTCTGTGTCTCCCTCTCTCTCTGCCCCTCCCCCGTTCATGCTCTGTCTCTCTCTGTCTCAAAAATAAATAAACATTAGAAAAAAATTTAAAAAAACAGATTAGCAGAAATATTTTTTAAATTAAGACTTTAAGCAGCATGTCTGTGAAAGTGAGGTCTTACTGAAATGCCATTCTGGAGTGTTTTCGTTTTCTGGGAACGAACTTCAGGCAAAAAAAGAGAAAACCCTATAAATAAGAGAAGAACCCTAGCTGGAAGACTCCCATGAGACCAGTATAACTTCCTATCCTGCCAGTCTTTGAGAATTTTTTGAGCAGTCAAGTGGCTTGATCCAGAAGTATATCTCCAGAAACGAGGCTAAATATTCTCCATAGGTTTCTGAGTCTGTTAGGAATTCCGGTTCCTCGGTACAAACGCCTACCATGAACATTGACTTTTACCGGGAGAGAGTTGTCCTCTTGCTGGCTATGTTAGTTCGGATGTAGGTTTGGTTTTATGTGACAGTGACCCAAATTAACCCAGGTTGAAGCAAGGTAGAGGTTTCTTTCTTTCTCATGTAAAAGTGTGAACTGGTGTGGCAGCTCTACCTCACAAAGTCATCAGGGACCCGTTCAGCCTCCTTGCAACCATCCTTGGGGAATGCCCTTTCTCTTAGGGGCCAAGGTGGCTCAGCCCTGTGTCTGCCGATTCTTTTTAAGGACGTGACCCAGGATAGGTACACATCATTTCCACTTTAACATCCATTGGGTTACACTTACCTACAAGAGAGGCTGGGAATTACATTCTTTATCTAGGTGCCCGTGTACACAGATGAAAATTGGAGGCGGAAGTGAGGAGTGTCTCCTCCTAGAGAGGAAGGGAAAGATAGATATTGGGGATAAAACTAGCAGTCACTGCCATGTTGGCCCACATGTTATTTTGTGTTTTCTTTTTTCAAGGAATCACTATTTTTTATTTTTTAAGTTTATTTATTTTTGAGAGAGAGAGAGACAGACAGACAGACACTGCACAAGTGGGGGAGAGGCAGATAGGGAGAGAGAGAATCCCAATCAGGCTCAAACCCATGAAACCATGAGCTCATGACCTGAGCCAAAACCAGGAGTCAGATGCTTAACTGACTGAGCCACCCAGGCACCCCACGGAATCGCTATTTTTAATGGTCTTTGTACTCTAGTTTTAGATTTACAGAAAAATTGTGAGCATAATACAGAAAGCTCTCATATACCCCATGCCCAGGTTCCCCTGTTATTAACATCTCACATTAGCATGGTGCACTTGTCACAGTTCGTGAACCAATATTGACACATTATCATCACCTGAAGCTCATACTTTATTCAGGCTCTCAGAATTTTTCCCTCATGGCCTTTTCCTTGTCCAAAATCCCATCCACGATGCCGCATTTCATTTAGTTGTCATGCTTTGTTAAGTTCTGGTCGACCGTGACGGTTTTGCAAACTTGTTTTTGATGATCCTTGATAGTTTTGAGGGGCTACCAGTAAAATGTTTTGCAGGGCGTGTCCCAACCAGAATTTGTCTGACATCTTCCCCGTGATTAGCCTGGGGTTGTGCATTCTTTGGGAGGAAGTCACAGAGGTAAGGTGCCATTCTCCTCGCATTGTATCAAAGGTACATACTTGCAGGCATGTTAATAATGTTGGCATCAGCCTTAATCACTTGATTGAGATAGTGTTGGTCAGGCCACTCCACTGTAAAGTTACTCATTTTCCCCCTTTCTATATCGTACCGCTTAGATGGAGTCCATCTCCTCAAGGAGTTCTTTCCATGGGGTATTTATCTGTCCCCCTCCATTTATTGTTTTCTTGTCATTTATATCAGGATGGACTCAATGATATTTATTTTATACTTTGGGTCATGATACATTACTACTTTCTAAAATTTTGTTGCCCAAACTGTTCCTGCTTTGGCCATTTGGAACTCTTTCAGTGGGTACTTTGTCCCTTTGTCCCCTTACCACCATCGTTATGTGCTTTGAATTTTTTTAAGTTTATTTATTTTGAGAGACAGCACATGAGCAGGAGAGGGGCAGAGAGAGAGGGAGAGAGAGAGAATCCCAAGCAAGCTCTGAACTGTCAGCATAGAGCACAGTGCAGGGCTCGAACCCACAAACTATGAGATCCTGACCTGAGCTGAAACCAAGAGTCGGATGCTTAACCGACTGAGCCACCCAGGGGCCCCGAAGTTTTGTGTGTTTTTTGTTTTTTATTTTTTAAGTAGGCCTCACACTCAGCGTGGAGCCCAACACAGGGCTTGAACTCACAACCCTGAGATCAAGCCCTGAGCTGAGATCAATAGTCGGATGCTTAACCGACTGAGCCACCCAGGCACCCCTTGAACACTTCCTTACTTCCTAGGGAAGATGCTTCAGACTCTTCCTGTATATTTTCTGCGCTAGCCTTGAATCAGCCATTTTTCGAAGGATCCCTGGCTCCTCTTATTGGGGAATGGTATTAGATATCAGGATCTGGGCTGTAGTGTATTCAGTGCCATTGAGGTATCCTGGCTTCTAGGCCCTCTCAGCTGACACAGGGAGGGAATATGTATGTATATGCTAGCTGCTATATGTGCGTATATCTATAAATACATATGTAACCATCCGTATGTCTGTTAAGCTAAACATAAGTTCATACTGAAGTCTCCAACTCTAATCCGTTATCACGTGCATCATCCTGGCCGCCTCCTCTTGACTGATCTGTGAACTCCGATTCCAATAGTGAGAAACCTGGCTCCCACCATTGGAGACCGAACTTCTGAAGATGGTCTTTCACCGTCTTGAATGTGTAGTCTAAATAGCATTAATGGTAAAAAAGAAATTTGCCTTAACCTATTAATTTTAGGTTGCTATTTTCTTGGGAAGAGCTGCTAATATTTACCCCTTGTCCCTCTTACTTAATTTGGGTAGAAGAAGTAAGATTGGATCAAATTTTCAGCACATGATGATGTTTGCTGGTAAGTTGTAACTTTCCCTCTCTTAGCCTACTCCAAGAAGCCACTCACCACGCATATGCCAACTTGATTTTAAATGGAAATGATGTGCTAGTAAGATGAGACTCCCTGAAATGTGGAAGTCGCAACCTCCAATAGAAAATTCTTTTTATAGTGTCCGATTCCCTTCTGTGAGAATGTTTTTCTGGTTTCAAATTCCTGGTTCAGAAATACAGCACATGTAGTGGAGAAGATAAAGATTAATGTATTTTCACACAAAAACCTGTTATGTATTTACGACAGCTGTATTCACAATTGCCAAAATCTGGAAATAGCCCAGTGGGTGAATGAATAGGCAAACTGTAGGATGTCCGTGAGGCCACGGAGTGCTCCTCAGCACTGAAACACCCAACTGTGGATAAGCACAACATGGACGAACCCTCAGGGCATCGTGCAGCGTGAAAAAAGCCAGTCTCAAAAGGTTACATTCTCAAAAAAGACAAAAGCGTAGTGATGGAGAAATAGCTCGCGGGTTGGCAGGGGTTTGGCAGGGTGACAGAGAGGTTGGGCTAAAACTGTGTGGCCCCAAGGAATTCGGGGAGGGGGGTGGTGAGGGCGACGACACTGTACTGTGTCTTAGTCGTGGTCGTGGCCACACACTTTGATGCCTCATCAAAGCGCAGGGGGCTGTACACCAGAAAAGAGTAGATTTTAGTATATGTGAACTTAAAAATAAAATGTTGGGGCGCCCGGGTGGCGCAGTCGGTTAAGCGTCCGACTTCAGCCAGGTCACGATCTCGCGGTCCCTGAGTTCGAGCCCCGCGTCGGGCTCTGGGCTGATGGCTCAGAGCCTGGAGCCTGCTTCCGATTCTGTGTCTCCCTCTCTCTCTGCCCCTCCCCCGTTCATGCTCTGTCTCTCTCTGTCCCAAAAATAAATAAACGTTGAAAAAAAAATTTAAAAAAAAAAAATAAAAATAAAATGTTAATTATTATTAAAAGGTCAGGGCATGTCAGTATCATCTACTAATTCTCTTTATCTGTGTATGCTTCGTATGTTCATGTAGTTGTTCATGTGCTTCTGAGTTCTCAGAATGTGCTTTATTTCTCTGAATTTATGAAGCTCGCGTTGGTAATGAGTTATCGAAGGAAAAGACCTCTTCCGTTCCCTTCTAGGCCTCCGTGGCGCAATGGCATTTGCTTTGGCCATTCGGGATACTGCAACTTACGCACGCCAGATGATGTTCAGCACCACGCTTCTGATTGTGTTTTTTACTGTATGGGTATTTGGCGGTGGCACAACTGCCATGCTGTCATGCTTGCATATAAGGTAGGTAGCGCCTGGGGACCTCATTTGCAGTTAAATGATCACTCGGGGGGTTTTTTCTTTTAATTAGGAGAAAATTCTAAGCTTTGACGAATGTATGAGGTTTTATTTCTTTCCTTTAAAAAAGTATACAACGTAGTACAGAGAAAATGGGAAATGGGCAAAAGAAAGTTGTTCACACTTCGAGGGATGTCCTTCCAAGATCTCTTGCTGGGCATTATGTATATATATTTTTTAACCAAAAAGGGGCAACGCTACAGGGATTCTTGTAAAGTGATTTTTAACTGTAATCTAGCATGGACATTTATGTCAGTAAATATATTTACATCATAATTTAATGGCTGCATACATCATAAGCTATTTAAACAAATCCCTGTCTTTGGACTTTTGCATTGTTTCTAAGATTTTTCTAGTAGCATTAACATTTGAGGATTTGCTATTAGTATTACCATTAACAGTGTGAACGTTCATAAACGCATACACCAATGTGCATTTGTTTGATCATTTCCTCAGGATCCATTCCTAGGAGTGGAGTTGCTTAATCAAAGGATATGCATATATTTAAGGCTTTTGACCCATATCACCCGATCAAATCAAAACTGTTTCTTCTTATCTGCAGCCTGTGAGACAATCCAGTTTGTCCCAACCCTAATCAGTCCTAGACATTATCTTTCTTTCTCAACTTTATGATCACCACTGTTGCTAACCTGACAATCCAAGGCCAAGATTGTGAAGTGTTAAATGCATACTCATTAATGTATTCAGTTGGAAAGCTCCCTGTATCTCAAGAGTTCTGCATTGTTTCCATGGATACAGCAGCCTGTGTTGCTAAAGCTTTTGTAGATTTTAGTTCTGTGTTTGGCTGAAACTTTATAGACCCTCTACTGAGCCTCTAGAACATGTAGGGTTCATTAGAGAAAACAGCACTTCACATTTTATAAAATCTCTTCTCCATGTTTTTCATTCTATTATGCCTTTCTCTTTTTTATTTTATTTTATGTTATTTTTTTAATATGAAATTTATTGTCAAATTGGTTTCCATACAACACCCAGTGCTCATCCCAACAGGTGCCCTCCTCAATGCCCATCACCCACTTTCCCCTCCCCCCCCCCCACCATCAACCCTGTTTATTCTCAGGCTTTTTAAAAAAATTTTTTTTATCATTTATTTATTTTTGAGACAGATACAGAGTATGAACGGGGGAAGGTCAGAGACAGAGGGAGACACAGAATCTGAAACAGGCTCCAGGCTCTGAGCTGTCAGCACAGAGCCTGACAGGGCTCGAACTCACAGACCGTGAGATCATGATGTGAGCCGAAGTCGGATGCTTAACTGACTGAGCCACCCAGGCGCCCCTATTCTCAGTTTTTAAGAGTCTCTTATGGTTTGGCTCCCTCCCTCTCTAACTTTTTTTTTTCCTTCCCCTCCCCCATGGTCTTCTGTTAAGTTTCTCAGGATCCACATAAGAGTGAAAACATATGGTATCTGTCTTTCTCTGACTGACTTATTTCACTCAGCATAACACTCTCCAGTTCCATCCATGTTGCTACAAAAGGCCAGATTTCATTCTTTCTCATTGCCATGTAGTATTCCATTGTGTATATAAACCACAGTTTCTTTATCCATTCGTCCGTTGATGGACATTTAGGCTCTTTCCATAATTTGGCTCTTGTTGAAAGTGCTGCTCTAAACATTGGGGTACAGGTGCCCCTATGCCTCAGCACTCCTGTATCCCTTGGGTAAATTCCTAGCAGTGCTATTGCTGGGTCATAGGGTAGGTCTATTTTTAATTTTTTGAGGAACCTCCACACTGTTTTCAGAGCGGCTGCACCAGTTTGCATTCCCACCAACAGGGCAAGAGGGTTCCCGTTTCTCCACATCCTCGCCAGCATCTATAGTCTCCTGATTTGTTCATTTTAGCCACTCTGACTGGTGTGAGGTGATATGTCAGTGTGGTTTTGATTTGTATTTCCCTGATGAGGAGTGATGTTGAGCATCTTTTCATGTTGTTATGCCTTTCTCTTAAACATTCTAAAGACCAGCCAGCCCTAAATCACACTTTGAATGTTGTTATTTTTGTCTTTATTTCTCTTTGCTATTCAAACTCCTTTCTTCCAATTTCTGTGCTATTATGGCATATAATCGAAAATAATGTTCTTATAATTCTGATCATGACTTCAGGGAAGCCCTGGCATTTGTTGAGCACCTGCTATGTGCTGGGCATTGTGCTAAGTGCATTTCACCTATTTATCTTATCACAATACCTCCATTTTGCAAGTGAGGAAATAGCGGCTTTAGAAGTTTCTAAGCTGTTCAAGGTCATACAGAGAATGAAGTAGCAGACAAAGAAGCCTCCAGTCTCACCTTTCTCGTGGACTGTGCTGCATTGAGAAATGAGGGTGTTAAATTTCAGAAGGATTAAACTCCTTTCTTAAGAGCTTGTAGGTGAAGATTTTTCCTTATTCTACTGAGAAGAACAAAATTAAATATAAGATAATTTATGAAAAATAATGCTGTCCAGTAGAGTCTCAGTTCTCTTTCCTGACTGACATCCACACAAAATTACCCATGCTTACCCCCCCCCTCCAAGAAAAACACCCTTCTCATAGAGTTGAATCAGTCTCACCAGCTCTGCAAGTGCCTTGGCCCATCTTGCCTGTCCCGTAGCATAGTTTGGCACTTAATTATATACATTGCCTTACAGTCTTAGATTAGTTCTTTTTATTGTTGTTTTGGGGTTTTATGACCTCTTTGTGAGCAGAGGCTGGATTTTACGTTTCTTTTCCCTCCCCTGAAATGTTTCTAGTGCAATTTTGAGGATGCTGATAAGTCTTTAAAGTTTAAGATTCATGCAGGCTTAGATCTGACTCTGGGTTCTTGCTCCTTCATTCACCAATTCTATGATCTTGGGCAAGTTCTTTAACCTTTGTGAGCCTCTGTTTCCTCATTTGTAACGTGTGTGTGATGGTACCTGCCTCCTCCAGGGTTGTTGTAAGGATTCAGTGAGCTAATGTCTGTAAAGTTCCTAGCACAACATTTCAAATGTACCTTTTATTCATTCATGTGATTAATACCAATGGATACCAACCATGTGCCAGGCACTGTTTTAGACTCTTAGTGGTTCTCAGGTGGGGGGAGGGCAGGCATTTGGCAATGTCTAGAGACATTTTCGATTGTCACAATCCCAAGAGAGGAGGCTGCTCCTGGCATCTCGTCGGCATAGGCTAAGGATACCCCTTAATGTCTGGTAGTGCACAGAGCAGCACCCCACAACAAACAGTCATCTGGGCTGAAATATCAGTAATGCAAAGGTTAAAAGACCCTGCTCTGGAAGGAGGGATATAGTGGTAGCAATAAGATAGAAAAAGTCCCTGGTCTCATGGAATCTATACTTCAGCGGGAAAAGACAGACAATAAGCTAGTAAATGAATAAATGAAGAAAACAATTTAGATGGTATTAAATACTGTGACGACAAACACAGTACTGTGATAGTGACTGGGGATAGAGTGAACTTTATACACAGAGATAAGCTAAGGTCTCTCAGGTTCCATTTGAGCTCAGTCTACCTGAATGACAGGACATTGAGAGTTAAACAGTGAGCGGGAAGAAGAGTGGTCCAGGCAGTGGGGAAAGCAAGTGCAAAGGCCCTGAGGCAGGACAAACTTTGCCTGTATAATGAACAGAAAAAAAGCCCACATAGCTGGAAATAGTGATTGATGGGTAGGTAGGAAATGAGGTGGGCAAGACCCTACAGGGGCAGGAGTTGGCAAACATGTCCTGTAAAGGGCCAGATAGTAAATATTCTAGGCTTTACAGCCCATATGGTCTCTGTCTCCACTACTCAGCCCTAGTGTGAAAGCAGCCATAGATAATATGTAAATCAGTTGTGATGGCTGCGTTCCCAGCAAACAGGAGGCATACCAGATGTGGCCTCTGGGCCGTAGTTTGGGAAACCCTGCTATTTGGTCTTGTAGGACATGGTGAGGAGTTTGGATTTTTAAATCCGGTTGGAAATCGTGTAGGATTTTAAAGCAAGGGAGTGACATGATCTGTTTTACGGTGTGAAAGGATCACTCCAGCTGTTGTGCGGACAAAGGGTCCTCAGTGAGCTGAAGCCAGCCAGCCAGCTTATCCCTGTGTCCTTTCAGGTAGTTTGTGACAGTCACACTTGGCTCCTTGTCATTTCCCGCACACACTTGGCAGTCCTCTGTCTCCGAGCCTTTGCTCCTACTGTTTCCTCTGCCTGGAATTCTCCTTCACCCCCAGGAAATAGCACAGCTCAGAGGCCTCCTCCCTTTGCCCTCTTCCAACGGAGCCACTCTTCCTTCCGTGTGCTTCCCGCGGGTATCTCTATGACAACGCTTATTTGGGTCGGCCTCGTGATGACAGAAGTGCTGTACGAGCTGCTGTTTAGTGAGGATGAAGTGATGCATCAGATACCTTTAAAACCTTTAGATACATTTTCTCATTTAATCCTTGCATCAACTCTAAGTGGTGGATATTATCCCCATTTTCCAGGTGATAAACTTGGAGTTCATTGGACTGCATAACCCCAAGTTCACACAGCTAGAAAGGGGCCGAGGCCAAACTGGAGCCCAGCTCTCCTTGATTGCAGAGCCCCTGGGGGATTGCGCTCTAGTTGTTTCTGTAGCCCCCACTAGTCTGTGAGCTCCTTGAGGGAAGGGGCTGTGTCTCATTCGTGTCTATGCCCTGTGCCTAGCACAGTGCCTGGCAGATAATAAATGCTCCGTAAATGTTTATTACACTGACCTGGCTTCTAGTAACATTCTGAGTGTTACAAATGTGCTATCTCCAAGACCACTAGATGTCACTTTATGTACACAAATGGGTCCAGAGTTTAATATGGCTGAGAAGGTATTAAACAGCTTCTGGCCATTTAACACAGAAGAACTGAGCCTTTCTTTGAATTATGAATCTGGTCATGGCTGTCCGTTTTCAAGTACTTGACCGTGATTCGCTTGCCTTCCAGATGAGGTCTTGCATCATTTTCCTCCCTTCGGTGTGTTTGTATTCTGAGATGCTCCTGCTACAGCTTCTCACACTGCTGTTTTTTCTGTGTTGTCTATAGTAGTGACCTTAATCGATAAACATTTGAGCACCTATTGTGTATCAGGTACTGTGCTAGACTCTGGGGATACAGAGATGAATTGAGACATGGCCTTTACCCTCAAGGAGCTCACAGTCTATTTGGGGAGACTGACAGGTAAATAATTATACTCTGCTGTGCTAAGTGTTCTAATAGAGGAATCTAGAAAGTGCTGTAGAAGCATGGAGGAAAGAATGATTCCCCCTGCAGGGGTTATAGAACGATTCGTTCGGAATTAGAAAAAGTTGTCGGGAACACATGAAGGGCCACGTGTTTCAGTTAGAGGGGATGGCCTGAGCAAAGGCATGGAGGCTTGGGAGAGGACAGGGGCCAGGGAGAGAAGGGGGTGGGAATGGCTGATAGAGGATATGTAGAGGAGAATGAGGAGAAAGGAGAGTGGAGAGCTAGGTCGGAGTGGCAGGGGTCGCTAGTTTGTAGCATCTTCAAAGCCGCCCAAGGGGCTTTAGACTTGGCCCTGTCGCTTGTAAGCCACTCTCAGAGTCTTTTGCCAAGGGAAGGACCCAGTGAGTTCCATGCTTTAGACACCTGACTCTAGGGGACAGCCTGGAAGCTGGACAGCCTTTCGGCCAACTGCCTCCGACCCCATGAGTCAGAATGAGGCCTGAGCCCGAGCAGTTGGGATAGAAAGGGGAGAGAGGGGAATCAAAGAGAGCTTCATAATGAAGCTGTTCCCTGGGTTACGGAAAGCAGGAATTTTAAGCACATAAAAGATAATTATGAAGAACCGAGGCTAATGTCTGTCCATTAGCCTATGAAAAAAAAACTGTAACCGGGCCCTCTCTTCAGTCATCATAACAGAATGTTGCCATGAGAGCTGAGAGGTCCGACAACACGCAGCTCCCTCCTGGAACTGCATTGTGCCTGCCTTATGTTTGGAACTAGCCAGCGGTTCCCATTCGGCAGTCAGGGCGGCGCTGCTTTCCCCGACTCTGCTTCTAGTGCACTTCCATTCGGGGCCGAGAATGTTATTTTTCGGAAACTGGTCAGTGGGACTGCAGGAAGGGAATCATTAGTAGACCCTGCCTGCCTCAGGATCCAAGCTGTTGCTAAGGAAAGTGGCAGGGGCCAAAAATCGACATCAACAACCAGAGAGAAGCAAGAAAATGTTAACCATTCCGCAGCTCGCGTGTTAGGAAAAGTAGCTGCCTGACACTGTTCGTATGTGAATAGACCTTGACTTGGCCTCAAGATCTCATTTGCCTTTTGTGTTTCTCCTTTAGGGTTGGTGTCGATTCCGACCAAGAACATTTGGTAAATATGCTTTTGTGTTGTCTCTAGCATTTTTGTCGAACGTGCAGCCGTTTGGAAAGACAATGGTCTACTCTAGACTTCACGCCACTATTATTTAGATCCTGTCCTGTTTGTACCAGCTTTTAACTGACATCATTCCTGGCTTTTCTCACTGCTTGATAGAGACAAAACCAAATTTTAGACAACATGTGGTTATCAAGGGTGACAGCTCTCATATCTGTGGGCCAGCCTGGGCTTTGGCCACGAAGGGGAACAGTCCCTTAAGCACTCCTGGGTTTTCAAGTGACTGCTCTGGCACAGGGAGCCTTTTTCCACTCTGGTTTGAGCATGAAGGCTTGTCTCTGATGTCAGCCTCACTCCAGCTGCTCTTCCTGTGTAACTTTCCAATTGGATGACCAGCAGCTGCCCTTGAGAACTGCCTGGAAGCTTTGCAGTCTTCAACCAGTCTTCCCTGACTGTTCAGGAGAATGCACTTCCTTGCCCTGGGCCTCAACCTTGCTTAATCCTACGTGTCCATTTCTCATTTGTTCCTCTGAACCTGAGCCTGAGACTGACCATCCTTTTCTGGTCTTTTCTATCTGCTTTTTAAAAAATAACTTTTTTAAGTTTATTTATTTTGAGAGAGAGCATGAGCAGGGGAGGGGTGGAGAGAGAGAGAGAGAGAGAGAGAGAGAGAGAGAGAGAGAGAGAGAGAATATCCCAAGCAGGCTCTGCAGGGTTAGTGCAGAGCCCAACTCGGGGCTTGACCTCATGAAACTGTGAGATCATGACCTAAACCAAAATCAAGAGTCGGACACTCAACTGACTGAGCCACCCAGGCGTCCCCCCCATCTACTTTATAAGGGTCTCTGAGCACCACTGAATACATGACTCTGTCCTAAGACATTAGATGGGAAATCACAGAAATTAAATTTTTAAAGGTAGAAAGCATCTCTTTTAAAATACATTCTTTTTCTGGTCTGAAACGAGCCGTGGTCTATTTGTCTTCAGGGTGCAGTTCCCCCAAAAAATACATTTCTCAGATTCATTTCCTTGATGCTAATTTTGTCAGCTGTTGAATGATGAGTATGTATGTAACACAGTAAGTACTCGCCTCTTTTGTGGTCAGAACCATACAAGTGTAGTTTCGTGGGCTTGAAATACTTGCACAAACAAGGCTGGATAAATCCCCATGATGCTGCGCTGATTGGAGTGGTGTCTAAGAGGTAGTAGCTCCCCAGTGCCTCCACCCCTGTGTCCAAACAAGAATAAAATATCACACGGCTCACCAGACAAATGCTTTGTCATGATCCACATAAGTCTTCACCCGCTGTGTCACCTCAGTCACCACAGAGGACAAATAGAAATGGACAGAGAATGCCAGGTAGGTGAGTCCCAGCTGGGACATACAGAAAAAATACCATTTTTCCCTCGCCCTCAAAACCTTGTGGATGTCTTGGTTGGTTATATGGTTTAGTCAGTGTTTCGAGTGTCCACTGGGAAGCAGAGAGGAACATGATAGTAAGTATGGAGTGTGTGGGGGTCGGTGTCCAGGTGTTTCTGTACTGAAGGGGTCATGAGATTTGTAGATTAACTGCCCTTGGAAACGCAGAGGCACGCAAACCTCTGTGTACTGGTGTGAAAGGAAGTACACCTGTACTCCAAGATTCTTGCATTGTGTATGTTTTGGTACATGCTGAGAGGAAGATTTATTTAGTTTGAAGACCAGGAAGGACAGGAAAGGACCAAAACCCAGAATCTAAACTGTGTTCTTCACATATCATGGAACCATGGAACATCCATGCTGCAGAGGGCTTTTGAGATTCTCTAAGCCTCACGCCGTGTACGTGAAGAAATCCAGGCCCTCAGAGGGGAAGGGACTTGTCCAGCTTAGTCCATGTCAGAGCTGAGATGAACCAGATCACCTAACTGCCCCGCTGCTGACTGTACCACATTACGAATAAGGATCCAGTTTGTTTTTGGAAGCTATTTTAGAAGAGGCCCGCTTGCTGTGTTAGTTTTCTCTTCTAGCCAGTCAGGCCTACCATGGGTTTTTTTCTACTTTATTTTGCTAGTGTTCTCAGAACATAGTAGCACCTTTGAAAATGCCAGTTACTTTTGGGACCCATAACAACTCCCAAAGATAGGGATGTCGATGTGATGTTTTCTACTTAAGATGCAATTCACATTGTGGGTGTAAGTCTTTCAGATTTAGGGATGAATTATTCCACATTGATTTTTTTAAATGACAGTAGACTCCTAAATCAGCAGGCAGCCTTGAGTAATAGAGGTGTTGAGAAAAACATTTCCATTTCATATTCCAAAGCTGCAATATGCAAGCTAGTAAATTTCTGATGTTACCCATGATAGAGAGTATCTTCTATGAAGTAGGCTATATTTCCAAGTCTACAAAGAAATGACTCTAAATAAATGTGTCTTTTATCTTGGTGTATGGATTGATTTCTTTATTATCTGTTTGCAGGGCATTCCGGAAAATGAAAGAAGAACCACCAAAGCAGAGAGCGCCTGGCTTTTCCGGATATGGTACAACTTTGATCATAAGTATCCTTAACTGAGGAGGAAAAATGGTAATGTGAACGTGGCCAGCTACAATTTAATGGAACAACTGTTGTGACTCTTCCCTTCCAGAAGTGGAATACAAAACCCACGTTTGGGCTTCCCTTTCCCCTTCAGTGGAGCAGATGGAGAAAGCTATTAAAGGAAACCCACACAAATGCATTGCCCTGAAAACCCACGAAACCAGTAGGGACTGGTTAGTGCAGAGGCTGGCTGTGAGAGGGGGGACTCAGGAGCCCTTACGATAGACTCTGTCCCATATATTGGTTTACTTATTGAGCAGTCATGGTCTTTTACCTAATTTAGTGAATCTTGCAAAAGGTGTTTGTTGGTCCTTGTCAGTGCACTTGCTCTAGGGTCAAAGAGGAAAGGCTGCCTTAGGGAAAAGCATGCGGATGAGATGGAAAACACAGAAATACTAGATACCTCAGTAGTCAGGGACAGGCCTGTTTTCTCTGACCTTTCAGAAGACTGGAAGATTCTCCTCTCCACTAAGGGTGCCAGTGTTTCCCTGTTTGCCAAATGTCTTTCTTCTCCTATCATAGTCGTCTTCTTCATACCTCTGCTTTGGGTTGTGTTACGTCCTATGACCTGTTTAAATCATGCCTTTCAAAAAATATTTTATCTCTTACTATTTATTAAAATTAATTTCTTACTTGAAAATTGAACTAGAAAAAGAAAAAAACCACGGAGTTCTTTCAAGCTGAAGCTTATTAGTAAATGAATCAAAACCTGGCTCATGTTCTACTGAAGGCAATTTGGGACAACCATGTAAAAACTTTTCCCTTGCTTTTGACTTTGTGATGAAAGCCTTGAATATTTGGGAAAACTGCAGTTGGGGGGTCCTGGATGGCTCAGTTGGTTAAGTGTCTGGCTCAGTTTCGGATCAGGTCATGATCTTACAGTTCGTGAATTTGAGTCCCGTGTCAGACTCCGTGCTGACAGTGTGGAGCCTGCTTGGGATTCTCCCTCCCCGCCCCCTCTCTGCCCCCCATCTTATAAATAAATAAACTTAAAGAAAAATGCACTTGGCACTTTTCGTTAGAAGCTACTACTTACTATATTCTGTTGGCTGGATTTTTATAATCACTTTTTGCAAGTACTCAAAATTAAATTAGTATATGGAAACAAGAATGCAATCCTATCTGTTGTATTAAGACTCCCAGTAGGAGATCCTGGCTCTTTAAAATTGTTTAATGATTATGTCATTACTTTTGGCTCCATTTTCAGCATTTTGGGTATAAGCCACTCCCATATCTCTTGGGGCTCTTTCATCCCTCTAATTTAACAAAAATTGTTTAATATTTCCTGAATAAAATGTTTTATACATTTTCTGCATAATATATGTATAAAACAATCCTAATGTAGAGAAAGTGTAGAATGATAGTTTATTTTTCTGTGTATTCTTACAGAAGTAAACACCAAGATTTGACTCAGTACTACCCTTTTAAGCACTACTGGACTAAGACCCAGTAATTTTCATACCTAGTGCCCTAGTAAAATTAATCATTCACACTCTAGATCTCAGTTCCATTGTATAGCCAGATTATTTGTTGTAATGGAGATATATATACCTTAAATAATATATCCAAATCTTAAGCTTGTGACCTATGTATATGCCTGTGTGCTTGCTACCCATCTGAAGATATAGGGGCACCTGGGTGGCCCTCAGTTGGTTAAATGCCCAACTCTTAGTTTTGGCTCAGGTCATGATCTCACAGCTCATGGGTTTGAGCATTGCATTGGGCTTCCGTGCTGACAGCATAGAGCCTGCTTGAGATTCTCTCTATCCCTCTCTCTCTACCCCTTTCCTGCTTGTGATCACGTGCTGTCTCTCTCTCTCACATAAATAAACTTAAAAAAAAATTAAAGATATATAGAAGATCTCCAGCATCCCAGAAGCTGGCCTGTGTTCCCTTAGTGTCAATATTGCCTTCCCTGCCCCCCTCAAAGGGCAGCCACTCTTCTGATTTCTAGCAACATGGGTTTTCATCTTCAATTAAATGAAATCCTATATTACATATTATTTTATGTCTTGCTTCTTTTCACTTAACAACGTGTAATTTATCAATATTGTTGCCTGTGCCAGTAATTCGTTCTTGTTCATTGCTATGTGGTGTTCCACAGTGTGAATATACTACAGGGTTGTTTTTTGTTTTGTTTTGTTTTGTTTTGTTTTGTTTTGTTTTGTTTTGTTTTGTTCTTCCTCCAGCCATTCCACTGTTGATAAACATCTGAGTCATTTCCCAGTTTGGGCTATTACAAACAAAGGTAAACATCTATGTATGCATCCTTTGGTGAACACCAGCACTCATTTCTGTTGAGTGTATACCCAGGAGAAAAATTTAGGGCAAGTGTATTGTTGAGCCGGACTCGATCCTGGCAGCCAGTTTTCCAGAGTGGCTGTAAACTGATTGACACTCCCACCAGTGACTTAAGGGAGTGCCAGTTGTCCCACACCTCCACCAAAACTCAATCTTTAATCCACCTTTTAAATGTTAGCCATTTCAGTGGGTGTGTAGTGCTACCATATGTGGTTTAATTTGCAGTTCTCTGACGGCCAGTGAGGCCAGGCATCCCTTCATATATTTGTTGGCTACTTGGATGTCATTTTTTTTTTTTATGAAGCAGGGTGTGTTTAGTTCTTTTGCCCATTATTTGAGGCATCTTATCTTTTCCTTATTAGCTTGTAGTTCTTTCTGCGTTACTGAATTGGGTTCTGTGTTGATTATACACACGATGAGTATCTTCTCCCAGTCTGTAGCTCACCTTTTCATTTTCTTCATCCTATGTTGTGAGGGACAGAAATTCTTCATTTTAATGAGGTTTACTTTATTACTCTTTTCTTTTGGTTAGTGCTTTCATGTCTTGATAAATCTTTTATATCCCAAGGTCCTATGTTTTCTTCTAAAAGTGTGATTATCTTAGCTGTCACATTTAAGTCTTCGATCCGCCACAAGTCAATTTTTGTGTATGGTGTGAGGTATGGGTCAAGACCTACTTTTCTCCCATATAAGAATTCAGTTGACCCAGCACCATTTATTGAAAATGCTGTCCTTAACCTTCTTAGTTGCACTGGAGCCTTTGTTGTAAACCACTTGGCCATATAAGTGGAGGTCTGCCTCTGGACTTTCTTTTCTATTTGTCGTTTTTTCACATTAATACCACACTCTATTAGTTATTACACTTTGTAATAAATCTTGCTGTCCAATAAGGGAAAGCCTACAGGTTTGTTATTCCTTAGTATTGCCTTGGCTATTTTAGGCTCACTGCAGTTTCATCTAAATTTTAGAAACAGCTTGCCACTTTCCATACACACACACACACACACACACACACACACACACAGACACACACACACTTACCAAGAAAACCTGCTGGCAATTCTTTGGCGTTTGTATTAAATCAGTAGATGAATTTGGAGAGAACTGACATCTTAACAGTATTGAGTTTCGAATCCATGAACACAGTATATCCCTCCATTTCTTTAGATCTTTAATTTCTCTCATTAATGTTTTATAGTTTTAAGTGCCAAGTCTTGCACATCTTTCATTATATTTGTTACCCCTAAGTATTTGATGCTATTGCAAATGGTACTTTATTTTCTACTCATTTACTCTTAATATGTAGATATGTAATTGGGATTTTTATATGTTGACTTTGTATCCAGCAATCTTGTTAAGTTCACTTATTATTGAAGAGTTTATAGATTCTTTTTGATTTACTGTTCATAAAATCAAGTGAATAATAGTGTCTTATCTATTTTTTTTTTCTTTTCTAATTCCTTATATTTTCTTTTTTTACATCTTACTACACTGGCTGGACCTTTCCAGTACAAGGTTGAATATAAGTGGACATTTTGTCTTATTCCTGACCTCAGGAAGAAAATTTTCAATATTTCACCATTAAGTATGATATTAGCTGTAGGTTTTTGAGATAGCCTTTGTCAAGTTAAGAATATCCCCTTCTATTTCTAGTTTGCCAAGAGTTTTTATCATGAACAGGTATTGAATATTATCAGATGAGTTTTCTGCATCAAATGAGATGATCATGTATTTGTTTTTTCTTCTTTAATCTGCCTTTGTGCTGATTTTCACTGATTGTGGTTTTTTTTTTAATGTTTATTCATTTTTGAGAGAGACAGGCAGACAGATAGAGCATTAGTAGGGAGGGGCAGAGAGAGAGGGAGACACAGAATAAGAAGCAGGCTCCAGGCTCTGAGGTGTCAGCACAGATTCTGATGTGGGGCTCGAACCCACAAACTGTGAGATCCTGACCTGAGCCAAAGTCGATGCCCAACTGACTGAGCCACTCAGGCGCCCCACTGATTGTTTGAATATTAAACCAGTCTTGCATTGCTGGAACAAATCTCACTTGGTCATGATATGTTATCCTATGTATGTACCATTGGATTTAGTTTACTAATATTTTGTGTCTGATTTTTGTGTCTGTTTTCATGAGTGATACTGACTGGCTTGTGGGGTTTTTTTGTTTTGTTGTTGTTGTTGTTGTTGTTGTTGTTGTTTTGTCATAATGCCCCTGTCAGGTATCGTTAACAAGATAACATGTTGGTTTAACAAAATGAAGGGGGTAGAATTTTTCTCTTTTTCTATTTTCTGGAGGATTGGTGGGGTTTTTTTCCTTTCAATGCTGGGAAGATTTTACCGGTGAGGTCACCTGGGCCTGGAGTGTTTTGTCTGAGAAGGTTGTTAATTTCTTTAATAGATACAGGACTATTCCTCATGTTTAAAATTTTTATTTCTTTATTTTGAGAGAGAGGATGATCAAGGGAGGGGCAGAGAGAGAGAGGGAGAGAAAGAATCCCAGGCAGGCTCTATGCTGTCAGTGCAGAGCCCCATGTGGGGCTTGATCTCACAAACTCTGAGATCATGACCTGAGCCGAAGTCAAGAGTCAGATGGCCTAACTGACTGAGCTGCCCAGGTGCCCAGACTATTCCTCATTTTTAATGTATATGTGTATGTGTCTTTCTCCCATTCTCTCTACTTTTTCTTATGATTCCCTCTTGTTTTCTTCTGAGTATCACATACGTTACCATGTCTGTTTTTAGTTTTTGAAGATGAATGAATACTGAAATGAGGGTCTATGATAGAGGAACTCAACGATACATCATTTTTTAAACGTTTTTAGAATTGAATTTCCTTTGATACTAAGTTTCAACTCATTCGAGAGGCCAGCTGAACTCACAGTAAATGATTAAAACCATTTTTGTCACTATATTCTGCAACCGAATATTTCATCTTTTTTCTCCTCTTACCACTCTACTTTCTTCCATATCTCCTTTGGTGCTAAATCGAGAGTGATTTTGTCTTCCGTTTGGCTTTAGTAAAATCAGAAAGGCACTAGGACGCCGTGGAAATGGCACTTGGAATCAAGCCCGTCTGGGTTTGTGTATTGGTCCTTCCCTTTGCTTCATTGTGTGACTTCAGGCAGATCACTGATTTCTCTGAGCCTCGCTTTCCATTTCTGTGAAACAGAGGTCATCACAAACTCTCCCTTGGCTATCTCACGGGCGTATAACACGGTGACAAAATGAGCGACATAAGTGAAAGCCCTTTGCTCTCCTCCGAAGTGGCAGGTACGCAGCGAGGGCGGTAGTGATCAAAGGGGTGGCTCTTTTGAATTTGTGAAGAACGGAACCCGGCTCTTCCTTAACCAGCACAGCTACCTGAAGCCTCTGCTGACGCACAGCGGGCCTCCCCTCACCACCACGCTCCCCGCCTGCTGCGGGCCCATCGCGAGATGCCTGACCAGCCCCCAAGCTTATGAGGTAAGTTGGTTTTATCCACAAGCGAAGTTCTTCATGAAGTGAGATTCATCCGCTCTGTGGACGGGTCGCTGGTTTGATTTTGCTTTGCTTGCCTCTGACGTACAGAATCCACAAGAGGGACTAGAAGTATAGTTTGCTCAGCCAGAAGATACACTGAAATCCGCAGCTACCATTCAGAGTCTTTGAAACGTCATTTGAAAACAGATACGGCGCGTTCCCTCACCTTACTGTCCGTGATTTTAGTACGTGGTTCTGGTCCCGTGCCGGTTTTCATGTATTTGCATGGTATGTGGCCTGAGCTCGGTGTCACCTCTGAGCTAGAGGTGTCCTGTTTTCCCCTACGGACTAGAGCGGCCGCAGACGTGTTGAGAGGACTGACGCGGCAAACTTTGATATCCCTGCAGCGCGCCAGATGGTCTCGTACTTGAAACCCGCCAGCGTTTGAGGATCAGCGGGCATTTATCTACCCGTGTTCCACATTGCTAGGATATGCTAGCATATCTACATATAATCGAGATTCCAGATTTTTTTCCTTAGCTACCGGCACATGATTGGTGGTGCGGCAAGTGCTGCAACACGGAAAGAAATGGCCAGTGCTAACCAGCCTTTATTTGAAAATACGAACCTCTTATTTTCCAAGTTCTTTTTTTTTTTTTTTAATTTGCTTCTAACCCAACCCTTCAAAAATAACCTGTGGCATCGCATAAAGTGCCCACGTTAACAAAACCCACCAACTTGACCACTGTGATGCAACACCATGAGTAGAGAGGCCAGGCAGCGGTGAAGCAGTGTAGACCCGCAGCCTTCCGTTCCCTACGGCCTCCTCTGTGGCACGTGAGAGCAGACCCCCCCAGGGAATGGACCGGAAGAGGAGTCTTGAGGGGGGTGGCACCAGCAGGGAGGGCCGCCCCACAGCTTTGTGCTCCGCTGAGTCCGTGCACATTTCTGACAGACTGTGCCTCGTGCGGCGGGGACACGCGTGTTGTCTTGCCTCTCTCTCCCGCATCTCCCGGGCTCCCTTTCAAGCGGCCTCCTTCCCCTCTGTGCCCTGTCAGTCCACGAGGCCCTGTGCAGAGGGGACAGCCAGCTTCGTCAGTCCGGTCAGGGAGCGTCGGCTCGTGGATTCCAGAGACCTGCTCACCGTCACCAGAAGCCACGAGTTCCCCAACAACCGCGTGCCCTGTGGAATATAGCTAAACACGACATGATCGTGTTCGTTTCCCGGGGCTGCCATAACAAAGTACCGCAAACCGCATGGTTCACCAGAAATGTATTGGCTCATAGTTCCGGAGGCTTGATGTCTGAGGTCAGAGTGTGGGCAGTGTTGGCTTCTTCTGAGGGCTGGGAGGAAGAGCCTGCTCCAGGCCTCTCCCCAGCTTCTGCTGGTTTGCCGGCAGTCTTTGGTGTTCCTTACTTACAGATGCGCCGCATGGATCTCTGTCTTCATCTTTTTAAAAAATATTTTTTAAGTCGATTCATTTTTGAGAGAGACAGAGCGTGAGCAGGGGAGGGGCAGAGAGAGAGGGAGACTCAGAATCCAAAGCAGGCTCCAGGCTCTGAGCCGTCAGCACAGAGCCCGACGTGGGGCTCGAGCCCGACGTGGGGCTCGAACCCACGAACTGTGAGATCATGACCTGAGCTGAAGTCAGATGCTTAACTGACTGAGCTACCCAGGCGCCCCTCTGTCTTCATATTCACACGACGTTCTGTGTGTGTGTGTGTGTGTGTGTGGCCAAATTTCCCCATTTTTAAGGACACCCACCAGTCCTATGGGATCAGGGCCCACACTAATGACCTCATCTTAATTTGATTATCTGAAAAGACCCTATTTCCATATAATGTCACATTCACAGGGACTCGAGGTTAGGATTTCAACATCTTTTGCGGGGGAGATATAATGTAACCCATAACAACCATAAAACTTAACTTTTAATGTTATTTTTCATTGTTCTCAACTACTTTTCTAGTTATAAAAGTTAACATACTGTGGCCAAGGGGCGCCTGGGTGGCTCAGTCGGTTAAGCATTCGACTTCGGCTCAGGTCATGATCTCGTGGTTCATGGGTTCGAGCCCCACATTGGGCTCTGTGCTGCCGGCTCAGAGCCTGGAGCCTGCTTTGGGTTCTGTGCCTCCCTCTCTCTCTGCCCCTGCCCCACTCGTAATCTGTCTCTCTCAAAAATAAATAAACGTAAAAAAAAACATACTTGTGGCCAAATAGTATGGAATAGACAATACGAAATATCGAAGTCCCCTCCTCCCACATACGTCTCCCCCGCAGAGGCAGTCTTTACGAAGGATTTATTGTGTGTACTTCCTAATCTGTTTTATCCGCACAAACTTATACATGTGTGTATAGCTTTGTTACTGGCTTACACGAATGAGATCACAACTGCATCGTCCTGCTACTTGGGTTGTTCACTTACTGATACATTGTGGCCACCTTTTGAGGAGTCCATGAGAACCCATTGCCTTCTCTTTATTCATGGCTGCATAGTGCTTGCACCAACATTGACTTGATCATCCGCCTTTGGCTAGACCTTTAAGTTGTTTCCTTTTCTTTCTTTGTTATTACAAATAATGTTTATAGTAGAAGGCAGGGGCATTTATTGCTTCCTGCCTCTCCTGTTATGGTGAACGTTCTTGTTACATATGAATTTATCCAAGTACATATAAAGGTATATAAAATAGATCTTAAAGGTTAAATTGCTGGGGCAAAAAGCATATACATTTTAAAATTTGGTAGACATTGGCCCAAACCTCAACCTTAATGAAGACCTTAGAGGGTGCTCCAGAGCCCCACTGACGCGTGAAGGCGCCACAACTTGTTTGGAAGTATTGCTCAGTGAGGGGGTAGACGCTGCTCAGACTTAGCCTTCGAACTTGTATCGGGCAGAAGGGGATTATGGTTGGTTGGTGGAGCGGGCTTGTTTGGGTTTTGATTCACGTATCTTCGAGTGGGCAAATTTCCACTTGAAAATTAAAGTTTTAAATTTAAAAACAAGTTAAAATTTGTTTTAAAAAAATTAAAGATCTTTTAAATTTGCGTCTAACAGCCTCCTCAGTCTATGTTAGACAAATTCTAAGATTTTTAAACACACAGCTTAGAAGAGCTGGATGTAAGCCGTTTCTATCAGCCTATGCACACGTACATTTTTTTCATTGACCAAAATGGCATTATATGTATGCTTGATCTTTCCCCCTTTTGTAGAACGTTATTTAATTATACTTTTGTGGCCACAAAGTCTCCGTTACAACCGAGGCTTATTGAGCTGGTAGACAAATACGCAGTGAGGGTTCAACAAATTTGGGGGTATTCTTTTATTAGGCATTGTTAATACAGAAGTTAAAAGCTTCACTTATATAAACCCATTCAGTAATCCATTAAACTAACATTTGGAGAATACTTTCTGTGTGCCCTGAACCGTCAGGTGGCTGGATCAGGGCAGAGAAGGGGCTCAGAGGCTGGTGTGGGATATGCCGAGCAGACCAGTGCACACGCGGTTCTGGTACACGGGTAAAGGCCGCGGCAGAGAGAGGGCGAAGTACAGGATGCTAGGAGAGAACACAGGAGGCACACCTAAGCCCACTTTGCAAGGTCAAGGAAGACTCCTAGCAGAAAGGGACTTTATTTTAAGCTGAGACCTCAGTGATAGGCTCTAGTCACAGGAAGGAAGGCGGGGGAGACGGGAGATAAGGGAAAGCGTGAGCGATTGGGGCACCTGTCAGCGGTTCAGATGGCAGGCACACGGTGGGGTGGTTGGAGTGGGTGAAGCAGTTGCAGCAGAGGGTGAAGGGTCTGGGTCACGAGGCGTCTTTAAGGTAAGGACTGTAGGCCTTCTGAAGGCAGCAGGCTGGTGCTGGAGGGTTTTAAATAGGGAATCCTTGAAAATTCTTCCGTTGGAAATGTTTCTTGAGTCGCACAGCAATTCTTAAGACTTATTTTATTTGCATTTAGAACCAGGAGCAGTTGAAAGACGATGACTCCGATCTCATTCTCAATGATGGCGACATTAGTCTGACGTATGGGGATTCTACTGTGAACACCGAATCAGGAACATCCGGTGCCCCTAGGAGGTTTATGGGAAATAGTTCAGAAGATGCCTTGGATCGGGAGCTCTCATTTGGGGACCACGAACTGGTCATCCGGGGAACACGCTTGGTTCTTCCCATGGATGATTCTGAACCCCCATTAAATTTGTTAGATAATACGAGACACAGTCCGGCCTAAGCTTACTAATACTCACTTAGTGATTTGTAAAATTTGCACATGTGATTGTGAAGAAATTTGTACTACCTAAAAAGTCCCAGTGCATGTCTCTGAATGTTTAAGCTATATAAATGCTCTTTATATGGCATCGAGAGAATATAAATACCCTGTACAAGGCAGATTGTGAACAAACTATTCCTTTATGTTTCATTGGCTGCACTATGTAGATTGGATCTGTTTTAGAAAAAAGTTATTTTCACAGTGATGTTGTGTGTTCCGTTAGCTTTACGTCTCAGTTAAAGTATAAAAAGTGACACATGTACTCTTTCTTACACTTACCTGATACTTAACCAGAGTACCAAGTTCTTGTGCCGTGAATTCATTTTGTTTTGTGGGAGGGGAGGGAGAGGAAAGAGGGCGTGTTATTTCTGGGGAAGCCCAGGGAGGAGAGAAACAAGCACGTGTTCATTGCTCCTGCCTTGGATGTGACCTTTTTCTTTCTTTTTTTCTCCGGTGGCCTGTTGTGGCATTAGAGGCTGAGGGTGTTCAGATCTTGCCCCGCTGGGCTTGGGAGTGAAATGGGCGGGGTGGGGGGCGCTTTCCCCCCTCCCCGTGAGAGAACAGATTCATTGACACTGGTGTTCGGAAAAGACATCCAAGACTTCGTTACTTTTCTCCCAGACCAAGACCGTAGGAAGGCGTCGCGTTATCCGGCCAGCTTAGCCAAAAGTACGGGTGTTCATAGTTCAGGGCACGTGGTTTCCGTTGGCAGGGGCAGGGGCAGAGCACAGGAAGGGCATAAAGGGGTGGGGGGGTGGTCTTTCGGAGATCTCTCTTCCCAAATGTGTAAATATTCAATACCAGATAAGTTTAAATAAGAAACTCAGTTGCTGCTTACTTTTTGATTATAAACTTGATCTGTATAGCAAGCTTTGTGGTCAAATGTTTTTATATCAATTTAAATTGCTGCTCTTTAGCAGCCAAACAGGAGCAAAATGTAAAATTTTTGAACTTACTGTGTCTAATTGTCAGTCGTTAGTCTGCACTTGATGTTAAAAGTTAATTTATGACTCCATGATCGTTGCCACACTACATCAAAGTCCGTCGTAAAGAACCGCGCTGCCCTGGAGAGCTTATCATAAGGGCAGTGGCTCCTTTATGTGCACCGGCGGTAGTTGTCTTAGTTTTCATGTGACTTTTTAATATGAAATGCCCAAGCTGCCGTGTGTGGGTGTGTGGGTGTGTGGGCGTGTGTGTGGTGTGTGGCTGTGTGTGGGTGTGGTGGGTTTTGTTTTTGTTTTTGTTTTTTGTTTTTACAGTTTTCAAGGAAGAGTACATAGCAACTTCCCATTTCCTACTGAGACAATGAAAGATTCTACTTTGTAATGCTGAAAACACCTGCAGGTGCGTTGAACGCTTAGAAGGGGGTTAGTCTCTGATGTCGATCCTGACCTGTTAAGGTTTCAGAAGAAAAATACGAGCTCTTGTGGGTCTTTCCCCCCTCGGGTCTGAGTAGCATTGCCTTAAATCTTCCCCAATTCGCAAAATTGATTTGTTTACGTGATACTAAAATTTTCCAGCCAAAAATATCTTTTCCGAGCAAAATATTCTCCCCCAGGTAGCTGTACTGTTGCAAACACTCCTGGAGATTTTAAGGGAATTCTCCCGTTGTACCCTTGAGTGGCAGCTCTAACTGTTGGCATAGATAGCCATTTGTTATGTAGTGGTACCGACTTTCCTGCTATGCAGGAACCCCGCGAAGTGTGCATTTTATATAATGAATGTGTGCCTCTTCATGCAGTCTCTAATTCTTGCTAATGTGTGTTTGAGGGGCTTTGAACTTCAGCATCATTTACCCACGCAGTTATTCAAGTTGTAAAAGGTCATACAAAAAATGAACAACTACCTTTTATATTCTGTCAGGTTACTGAGCTCACTTCATGAAAATGGCTGTAAATACTTAGCATGACAAATTCAGTAACTCGTCTCTTTCAGCATGCATAAGACTTTTTCTTAGGGAAACCGATACAGCTTGAGTCAACTGAATCTGCCTTCGTGCTGTATCAGAGGGGAACCAAGCCTTCTGTGCTTACGTCAGCATCTGGAAGATTCTCCTCTCCTCTGATCTGTGTGTGCATCTCCAAGCAAAGAAGAAAACACAAACTGTGCTCTCATACCCATTGGTTTTAGACACCTGAGTGAACTTGAATGAAGGACAGTCTGAGTTACCATCACGCACAAGTAGAGCTGCTCTTGGACTTGCTGTTCTGTTCTTTGTGAACCCTACACGTTTGAATGACTCAAACATTGCATCTTTTAAAGTTATTTTGTAAGGTTCCTTGGCATCTATCCTCCTTGTCTGTGTTTGGCAATGTGCTGTTAAAGAAATAGACTTAATCTGTATGTATTTTTTGTTTTCCCTTGCAGTACTTGGACAGATGTTATAGTGGTTTCTTTTAGGAAAATCTGTCATTAAAAAAAATTATAGCCTTGCAAATAACCAGTCACCGTATTTGAGTCACAGTTTATTCTAGCGAGAAAAAAGTAAAGAGTACTGACTTCATTTATTTTTCTACCTATACACCTACTGGGAAAGCAGAAAAGACTGATGTTTAATAAAAGAACAAACAGAAACGTACCAGAACGTAACATGTGGGGTTGCCAATTTGGGGGAGGGGAGGGCTTATGGGTAAGGCTGGACATATTTGCTTATGGTCACGATTGAACCATTTAACAAATGGCAGTCGAATTAACAATTCGACTCAGGGCAGTCGAATTCTGTCACATTGGTTTGTAGCCTGTTAGCTTGGTAATGGATAATGTCACGAAAATGTTCATTGCATTATTTGGCAAGAGTAGATTCTGTATCTGCTTAGGGAGAAAGGCAGTTCCAAGTCTGGTGGAAAGCATGATCATGCAAATAATCCTTTTTGCAAGTTAAAGATAGGTCTTTCTTTTTGTACCTGAGCAGTTTTAGAGGTTAGATTGTTATTGACAGCAACTTTGTCTAGTAAAGGCACCAACCACACTGGTTCTGTGTTTTGCTGCCAGCTTTCTTGTTCGTGATCCAGTGAGAGACACAGGTGGCCTACACACCACACCTCTTCTGGAACAAACCCATGTTTTCTTTAAAAAAAATTTTTTTTTTAATGTCTTATTTATTTCTGAGAGAGCGAGCACAAGCTGGGGAGAGGCTGAGAGAGAGGGAGACACAGAATCCACAGCAGGCTCCAGGCTCTGAGCCATCAGCACAGAGCCCGACGCGAGGCTGGAACCCACGAGCCATGAGATCATGACCTGAGCCGAAGTCAAGACGCCCAACCGACTGAGCCCCCCAGGCGCCCCACAAACGTATGTTTTCTAATTCACAGGTGAAACCCAACTGATTTGAGCAGGGACATTTGTTAACCTGACCCAATGCAGCAGTGTAAAGAGATGAAAGTATAGATGTTTTGAACTTCATCGGGACATCCTTGATAGGAAGCCCCCCGTACGGATTATGCAGTATAAGGTATGAGGCTTGGAATAAATTGGAAATCATAATAATAGTAGGTCCCATTTTTTGTACCCCTCTCTGATACAGGCTGTGTGTATACACGGTCTTTTTTCAAATTTACATTTTAATTTAATCTTTTTTTTTTTTTTTTGAGAGAGAGAGAGAGAGAGAGAGCAAGCCTGAGAGGGGGAGGGACCGAGGGAGAAGGAGAGATTGAATCCCAAGCAGGCCCCACTCCCAGTGCGGACCCCAACACAGGGCTCTATCCCACGACTGTGAGATCATGACCTGAACCAAAATCAAAGGTCGGATGCCTAACTGAGCCGCCCAAGCGCCCCCTCATTTTAATTTAATCTTAATCATGCTGTGAGGGTACGTTTTATTATTCTCATTTCACAGATGTGAAAACTGAGGTGCAGGAAAGTTGTTGCACTGCTAGTAAGTGACAGACAGGCCTCAAATCCAGTCTGGATCCAAAGTCTAGATTGTTAACCGCTGCTCTGGGTGGCTCCAGTGGTGGGCTATGGGCTAATCCATCTCGAGAACTAGAAGGATGATGCAGGGGATTGCAGACTTCTGTCCTGTTGGCCACCACTCGCTTGACATCAGGCCAGGGTAGGGCATGAAGTCTCAGCTGTGTCCCTCCATTTGCCGCACTGTTGGCTGCTGGACATGAGTTATCGTGGTTGGGAAGTTTCTCGAATTCTTAGCAAAGTGCCCTCCTGGGTCTCTTTGAGCCCACAGCCGAGTCAACCTGCCTAGCATCATGCCTTTCCACTCTGCCTCCCACCGTTTTCACCAAGGGGGCCCATCTTTTACCGCGGAGTGTGTGGTCCTAAACAGCGGCTCTGCGCTCACATAGTTCGGTGTCGTAGGAAAAAACCCAGGCTTCGGAGTTACGCACACCTGGTTTCAAATGCAGTCTCTGCTCTTTGCTCACTGTGTCCTGCTGGCTGGTTACTTGACTTTGCTGGGCCTTTCCACTTGCTTAGCTGTAGAGTTAATTCGCTCAACAAATATTTGAGCGCTTCCGCTTACTGTGTGGCTACCCTAGGGAACAACTCCACAGCGATCCTTGCTCTCACAGAGCGTGTTCTACAGGAGATGCCAATAGCTGTTTCATGGGGTTGTTAGGAATCATTCATGCAAGAAGGACTGATTGCCTCCTGGCAGAGGAGTAGCTGTCTTAAACAATCAGCAGGTCGCATGAGCTACACTAGCCATAAAGGCTATGATGGCAGAGTACGGGAGGCCAGGAGGGGGACTGGTGGTAGGGGGATAGGGAAGCTTTTACGGACGAGGTGGAACTTAAGCTAAGACCTCGAAGGTAAACAAGGGCTCCGCCAGACGATGGGAGGTGAGAACGCAGAGCATCCCAGGCAGAGTGAACAGTGACAACTCGCCAGCTATACTTGATCGTCCACACAACATACATCCAATCAAATAGCTGTCGAGTGACAGACATACGATGTACTGTGCTATATACAGATAGCCAAACCTGCCCCTGGGACTTTCTCCCCTTCAGCCCTTCCCTGCTGCACCTGCAAGGCGGGTCCGTGGCCCCTGTTGGCTTGTAGCCTTTAGACATTTGAAAAGAGGAACGGGTATGTCTTCTGGGTCTTTTTGCCCCTAGGCTAACAGCCCCCCTGTCTTCCTATCTTCTGGACACGTACCAGGAGTCTACGGTTCTAGACTTTGTTTATGAATGGGCCCGAGACCACACTGGCTTTTTGTTTCAGCGGCCACATGTCCCCCCCATCTTACGAGAAAGTCGAGCCGGCTCCCTGCCCTCACAGAGCTTATGTTCCAGTCGGGGAAGGCCAAGCAGAAATAAACAAATCCATAAAATAGTTAGAGATTGTGCTAAGTGACAAGGAGGGAATGTGGCAGTTGGCAGGGGAAGAGTGTGGGAGGACTCCAGAGATAACATGAAAACCAAGGCTTGAAGGAACCAGCCAGGCAGACATCGGGGCAAGAGTGGTAGAAAGGTCTGGTTTAGGGTGGACACTCAACAAATGTGTGTTGAAAAGGAGCCAAATGTCCTCCTGACCTTTACCGAGTTGGATTTGGAAGGCCTCCGTGGTGGGATAGAAGTGGTAGGCCAGAGGCCCAGCCCCGCCTGCCACTGGGCGCTCTTAGGACGCCACTTAAACCTCTCTGAGCCCGTTTCTTCTTTTACAAAATGACAACAGTTCACTGATGCAGTAAACATTTATTTAGCTACTGTCCCGTGCCAGCACCGTGGTAGGTGCTGGATTGCGGTTCCAGCCCCAAGTAGCTGCCAGCCCTGTTGAGAGGATCAGACGAAGTGAGGTACATTGTAACGGTTTGACCAGGATTCAGAAGGCTCTGGAAACAGGTTGAGCGGTCGGTAAGGTTTTGCTGATGAGGTGCTATATGAGTAAAATACGGAAAACACTTTCCAGACCATGATTCTACCCCGGGCTCCTTTCCTTTGAAATCTCCAGTTCAGCAAGTTGGAGGTGTCCCAAGCGGTTGCCACGGTGAAGACTGAACTCTGGGAACCGGCTTGGCTGGGGCTGTCGTGGCTGGAGCCGGAACTCCCTGAGACCTGACGGTTTCTGCACCATACTGCACCTATATCCTGGGAGTCCTGCCCTTGGCATCCGCTTGGGCACCAGGTCTACTCATTTTCCACTTGGTGCTGTCTGGTGGGCGCTGGGTCCCACCAAAGAGACACAGCTTAGTTGTGCGAGTTATTTCTTTTGCAGTGATGCAATCAAATGCACCGAAGGCTCAGTGAGCACTTCTTGGAAACGAGGTTTGATTTCTCCAGATTTGTTGGAACTCAAGTGGCTCACTGTGTGCTTAAATACTAATCTTACAAAAATTGCTTGAGAAGTATTCAATTCTCAGTTGCTTTGGGAGTCACGAGGCTTTATTGCATGATTTTTTTTTCGTGTGTTCATTTGAATTTCCTATACAGCTGTGTTCCCGTGTAGACTAGGCAAAAAGCATGTGAGCGGTTTTTTTTCATCTGAAAAATCTGGAAGACTTCTGTCAAATAGTGGGAGATGCCTGTTTTTTGTTTTTGTTTTTTAACCAGAGCTGCTTTAGCGTGAGAAAGCAAGAGAATGGCAGTTGGACCCCTGATGGTGCTACAAAATTGGGTTTTTTTAACACTTTCTTGAAACCTTGACAATCACAACCCCGCCTTCTAAGGGGAACCAAGAGGTTGATATTTAAACATTCCAGCCAACCGATAATTCACTTCCTCACTTCCAGTCAGCGAACACTGAACATGGCATATGGGCTGAGCCCTGGGCCAGGCACTGGCGACACAGGGCGGACTCAGTCACAGTTTTGATCTACAGGCGACTGTGGCCGCCATTGCTGCTTACGTGGGCAGACTAATGGTCCCTAAAGACGTCCGCAGGACATCCGGGAACCTGTGGATATGTGAGGTTACGTGGCAAAGAGGATCAAGGTTGTAAGTGGAATGAGAGTTGCTAACCAGCTGATCTTGAGACAGGGGGGTTATCCTGGGCCCAACCTAATCACACAGGCTCACAAAACTAGAGAACCTTTCCTGGCTGTGTTCAGGGAAAGAGATGTGACAACGAAAGCAGGGTCAGAGAGATGCTACGTGCCTGGCTTCGAAAAGAAAGGCAGGAAGTCTCTGGAAGCTGGAAAAGGCAAGGAATTGGATTGTCCCATACAGCCTCCGGAAAGAATGCAGCCTGCAGACACCTTGATGTTAGCCCAGTGAAATCATGTCAGACTTCTGACCTACAGAACCCTAAGATGGCAAGTGGGCATTGTGTTAAGCCGCCAAGTCAATGGCAATCTGTTCTGGCAGCAATAAATAGGTCACGGACACGCTGCCTTCGAGGGAGACAGTGTGGTCTCCGTTACTATTGAGTTTTGCGTGTCTGCTCTGTGCTAGGCCACCATGCCCGCTACATTACCAGGGAGTGGCAGTGTGGGGGAGGCACGATCATATTTGGGTTCTAAGGGGCGCCTGGGTGGCTCAGTAGGTAGAGCATCC